GGAGATTCTGCTGAACGCCACGCTCCGCTCTGCTCACACCCCGCCAGGACAAACCACCCCTCCGTGCTTGCCACTTTGTCTTGTTGGAACATATCACCCAGCCTTCTGTTGCACAACTCAATAAAACCCTGTGTTACCCTTTCTGAGCTGTTCCGAGTCTGCCTTTGAGTCCAAAAGTTCTCACATTATGACAATATCAAGCTGAGGGCATTTCTCCTTCCTTGAAAAAAACTGATGGTGTGGAATGGTTTTCCTTTTCCTTTGATAATGTCTTGTAACCCAACGGGATGTGTGCCATGGTCCTCTTCCACCACACAGCTTGCACAGGAGGTCTTCCCTCACTTCACTCTTGGCAGGAAAGATCTGTGGAATGGCAACTGCCAAAGTTTGTCCATGTGGCTTGATAGCTGTCTTCCCTTCCTCCTCCTAGGTTTCTCACTTCGGCCTGGACCATGGTTGCTCCCTTGGACTTGCCATTGCTGGAAGTTCGATTTCTAGTTTCTAAGCACTTTACTGGCAAGCCACACATGATGGACATGAGAGAGGGTGTTGTACCACTTTCATGTGACTGGATTTTTCAAATTTGACGGAATTGTTTCCCCTTGAATAAGCAGCTTGAACATGTTACTTTCCTGTTTCAGATCACCACTCCTTTCCTGGAATTGAAAGACATCCTGGCCGAAGTGGCCGTTCAGTCAAGCTGTGTCAGGACCCATTTTGCTCGGTCCATGAATCAAATTACACTGTAATGTGAAAGAGGTCACTCGTAGAGATGAACTCACATGAATTATCACCAACTCTGCAGTTCCCCCCCTCAGCTGGACAGAGCCTTTAGCCTCTTTTTGCTTATTCTTTTGTTTTTTTATCCCACAAAGTCTGCTCTATCTAAAAAAAACCCCACCCCTTCTCAGCACCAATAATACATTTTATTTAAGGTGCCTTTCTCAGCACTCAATGACAGCGTACAGGGATGCAAAGACATTTAAAAGTAGCAAAACTAAGAACATTGAAACAAGCTAAAAGCAAAGAATTTACATCAAATGAGGTAGGCACACATGTGTTTTGAGTTGCGATTTAAAATGGGAGAATGAATCAATGTTTCTAAGTTGGGGTGGTAAAGAGTTCCAGAGACGGGGGGCAGAGCGGCTGAATGCTCTGCTTCCCATTGTGGTGAGACGAGCAGGGGGGACAGACATGTGTATGGAGGAAGAGGATCTAAGGGAGTGGGTGGAAGTTGGACCCTGCAGGAGATCAGACAAATACGGAGGGGCAAGGTTGTGGATGGCCTTGAATGTTAACAGAAGGACTTTGAATTGGATACGGGACAGGACCGGGAGCCAGTGAAGCTGTTGGAGAATAGGAGTGATGTTGTGGATGGAGGGTGTTCGAGATATGATGGGGGCAGCTGAATTATGGACCAGTTGAAGTTTATGAAGGTATTTGTGAGGGAGGCCGAAAAGGAGAGTTGCCGTAGTCCAAAAGAGGTGACAAGACTGTGAACAAGAATGGCGGCAGTGTGGGGGGTAAGGGAGGGGCGGAGGCGATTAATGTTTCATAGATGGAAGTAGGCAGACTGGGTAATGTTATTGATGTGGGACTGAAAAGATAAAGTGCTGTCAAGGATGACTCCCAGACTCTTAACCTGGGGGGAGGGTGAAACGGAGGAATTGCCAATAGTAAGTTTAGTTCCAATGAGGAGGACCTCGGTTTTATCACTGTTTAATTTGAGGAAATTATTGGTAAACCAGGTTTTTATTTCCAAGATACAGTCAGTGAGGGAGGTGGGTGGGAGAGAGGATGATGGTTTTGAGAGGTAGAGCTGGGTGTCATCAGCATAACAGTGGAATTGAATATTAAATTTGCGGAAGATATTGCCCAGGGGAAGAAGATAAATGATGAAAAGTGTGTAGCCCCAGGGCTCTGTCCTGGGGCCCTTACACCTGAAGTGACGGGGGAGGGACAGGATTTAAAAGAATTAAGTTGAACGAACTGAGTGCGGCCAGAAAGATAAGATGTGAACCAGTCTAACGGAGTGTGAGTGATGCCGATAGAAGATAACCAGTTGAGGAGAACAGAGTGACAGATGGTATCAAAGGCTGCACTCAGGTCGAGGAGGATGAGAATGGTAAGTAGTCCAGAATCAGCTGCCACAAGGAGGTCATTGGTGATTGATAAGTGCTGTTTCAGTGCTATGAAGTGGACGGAAGCCAGACTGGAACTGTTCATACAGGTTATTGTGGGATAGATGGAGTTGAGAGGCAACTGTTTTTTCAAGAATAGACAAAGTTAGCTACTCATTGGTGAGAATAGCTGAGCATTTAGCAGCGAAAGAGCCAGAGATTTTGTCAGAGGAGGCCAAAACTGAGCTAAAAGGAGAACGCATATTGGACTTATATTCATTAGGTGGCAAGAAACAGTAGCCTACCTTAAATGAAAGCTAATATTGAGCTGTGTGTGGTGAATGTGTGTAGGCAACTGTTTAACATGTTTATGAATGCAAATTCAAACTCAGTATTAATTAATTAATGTCAGATGTTGTGGTTTTATCTTGTTCCTATGCCCATAGTGGCCAAAAATGTTTAACCCAGCTAGTAATGGAGGGATTTGAAGCTCAGTGCTTTTGCAAAATCAGGTTCTTCTGTAGAATGTCACTGGGAGTACAAATGTCCATTTAATAGCTTAATAAAAGTGCCCCATTAACCTAAATCAGAATTAAGTAAGTGATACTTGTTGGTAGGATGACACAAGAACAGTTTCTTTCCACACACCATCACTCTGTTGAACATTTAACATCAGTGTCAGAAACAATCCCCATCTAGTAACACAACACACCCACTATACCAAATTACTGTTTTATTATTTTGTATTATATTATGACATACTATCAGTGGTGCTGTACATACTGTCATGTCCACCTACTTCTACACTCACCGGCCACTTTCTAGTTTACAGGGTTCCTGCTTCATTCTGGCTGGATAATCTGATTTATGAAGAAACACTATTTCTTTAGGATTAGTCTTTAAAAAGGTCAAACTGAGCTCTAAATAAGGCTTCCATTGCAGATATACACTCACTGGCCACTTTACAAGGTACACCTTGCTAGTACTTTCAGACCTTCAGAACTGCCTTAATTCTTCGTGACTATTGTTGAACATCATTTAAATATCTTTTTATAATGAAATGGTTATATTTTAATGACACATCACTACATTTTATTTTGCAGTTGCGATCATTTAATTTAAAAATATATTGAAAATGTTGTATTTAAAAGATGTTAAAAACAACAACCTACCTTGTTTTAATTTATTAAATGTGTATTTATTAGAATTTATTTCAAATAAAATGATTTTATTTATAAAAACAAGATTCAGATTTTTTTCAGTATTTTTCCAAAAATTAGTCTTGGAAAAGGGGGGTCATCTTATATTTGGACCAATACGGTAAATGGAGTTAGTAAGTGTGAGTCATTTTTTAATAGTTTTTATAGTGTTTTTTTTAGATTTAGAGAGATCCTCATTGGGTATAAGAGGTCAAAGAGGCCCTCTATTAATCTTCAATATAGTTATATGCGTCAGACTCTAAACCAAGGATGAATCCAACTTTTTAAAACTCCACATTTCACCCTAACTTGTCAAGAGAGGCTGCAAACAGTGTTTGTGGTGAATATGGTGACTTTTCACCAGTCTTTATTTTCCCCTCTGCAACTCTCTTCTTGATAACATCCACTGCGCTTCCTCCCCTACCTCTCCCCTCTTGGTGTTGGAATGCTCGTTATTTCAGCACCAGCATCCTTGCTTGGCCTAGATATGTCAGCCAAAAAAACATCTAGCAGCCGGTGTCATTCGCATGCAGGACACTGGTTACAAAGCTTGCAGAGAGAGTGAGAAACAGATTCCACCACTGCAGAGTGAATTTCCCGCAGTGCATCATGACCAAGGAGCCACAGTGTAAGAATGTACACAAACATGAGTAAAGTAACCCACATCCCTCCACCCCAGGACAGTGCCTCTGTGCACAACAAAGAGCAGCCAAGCACAAACACTCACACAGGGATGAGGAAAAAAACATTTTAGCACACACGTTGCAATAGAAACACACAGGGAATGCCAAAGCAGAGGGGAGGAAGGAGGCCAGAGTAGCGTAAGAGACTGTGTACATAACTGAAGAATCAAAGAGGAACTTCCCATTGGACAGCATAACTAACTCTTTGCGTTTCAATCAGCACTAAGGTCCTTCCTATGTCACAGCTCTGCAACGTAGTTAAAGGACAAAACCAGGGTTTCTTACATTTTAGCTCCTTAACTTTAAATCTTTTTTTTCATACTTTCAATGCAGCCATTGCTTTCTGGTCCATTTAATTAGCAGACTCTTGAAAACTGTGAGTAATTAATCACACTGAACATACAGTCTGTTACATTCTTGTTGAATGGTAACGCAGTTCAAAGGCAGATTGATCTGCAAACTCTACACCTGCATTACCTTGTGATGGATATGAAAGTACAAATTTTAAACTTTATGGCAGCCATTGGTTTCCATTCATTCTTGTATGGTATAAAGTTTCTACACCTTTATACTCATTTGATTATATACTCTTTTCGGTCTTCAATGTAGCAATTACTTTTTGACGACTAATGAAGGTAGCATATGGTTTACTTCCTTCCATGCAGCCATTGCTTTTAATGTCCTTGTTACAAAAAAAATGGTAGTAGGTAGTATACTTTCTTTCTACAGTACCTTCAAAGCACCCATTGTTGTTGTGGTTGTAGTTTTAGTCCAGAATGAAATATCTCAACAAGGATAGTGCCAACATCATGTCAACATTTTAAATTGGTTTGGTTTATTATAAAATACCTGCAAAACCAAAGACAATTGCATGAGCCTCAACTGTACTATGTGTGGTGCTGTGAGACTGTACAGAACATTTGCCAATACGCAGTAACACAGCCTGTTTAGTTAAGGTAGGAAGGTGTAAAGGATGGAAAAACAAGAACAACTCAGAAAAATGTTACATGAACTTTTATGATTTTCTTAAATTAGTTCTGAAAACTGTTACAAAAACAAAATCTAGGGACAAACAGAAAGACAATAAGCTGCTTCTCCCGAGATCCTTCTCCCATTTGACATTTCATACATGTGCGTCATAATCAGATGCTCCAAGTCTTTGACCTTGACCTTCCCGTCTATCCGCAGTGTGTATACAAGGCACCCTGACAGAAAATGGCCTCTTCTTGCTACTCGTCACTCTCGCTTGATGAGATGATAAAAAGTGTTATATAGAGAGACAAAGACAAGCGCTGACAGTTCGTACAAACACGCACTCTGCTGTGTTTTTATTTCTTACACTTTATTGGATGCACACGCACACACGCGCACATGCGCACACACGCACACGCGCAAACAGTTACTTGATCACAGACCAAAGGACTGCACTGTACAAGAACTTAACGAATTTTGCTGGTCAGTGACATTTATATTTATAATGCAGACCTTTCTCTGGAGTCCACACGCACACACGCGTCCTGTCCTGGTGATAGGAATATTCCAGTAGGGGGCTCTTTACAGTGCACATGGTCCCAAACTGTTACAATGCCAACCCAGCCCCTGCTACTCCATCCGGTTCTGATGGCACCCTGGGACCTAGTTTTGGTGGGATCCATTTAGTCGGATATGGTGTGATCTGATCTGGACTGAGATAATTCAGATTAGACTGAAATCCACTTCAGGTCAGGTCAGACCAGCTCCTCTCTTCTTCTTCCTGATCCTTTGATTCCGCCTGTCTCCTCAGTGCTCTGAAAACACAAGATTCAGTTTAACTCCAGACTGAACATTACACTATGTTTTTAAAGGCATCTCTAGTCATTCTGCTGCTGGTGGTCATTCTAGATGTCTGCTGTGGAACCCCAGAAGAGAAGAACTTCTTTACATTTCAAATGGGAAAAGAGGGATCTACAAAGTTGCCTATTAAGGTCCTCAGTCATCCAGGTCATAGTTAACTAAGGACGGCAAGTGGACTTGGTTGAAGATACTGAAAACTACAAAACTTTTGCAAGACTCTCCCAAGATTGCACAACTTCAGATTAAAGCCTAAATTTGTACAGTACTTGGAATTGAACGGGTATTAAATTCAAATTAGCTTTATTGGCATGAATGTATAGCAACAATACAATTAATTTCATACATTTCATTAGATGAATGGATAATGCATTAGATTAATGGGTATTAAATCACACCCACTAACTTAGACCACTCATTACCAATTGGTGTCTGAAAAAGTAATGAAAATACAACATGTGTGAATGTCAATTAAGATTTACTTAAATGAGGGAAAACAGGTCTATTAGCTACGCGAGAGTGATCTCATGTCTGTGTGTGCAGAGCTGAAGTTGGTACGTAGCTAGCCTAGCCTAGCCTAGCATAGCATAGCATAAAGACTGGCAACAGGTGAAACAACTAACCTGGCTCTGTCCAAAGTTCAAAGATACTCTCTCTAAAGCTCATGTATTAACACTAATCCTAATTGATTCTTTATTAATGTATATTCTCTGCTATGTAGCAGAAGGGAGTTACAAAACTCAATTTCACTCTATAACTTGTTGTATTGTGACAAACCTACCTACCTACCTGTATGGTATAGTGAGAATGGTTGGTAAACAGAGGTTTAGTATGAGCACAATGGTACCAAACCTGGCAACTTTTCTGTCACAACAAGCAGTGTTGTAAAGGCTACTTTGAAACTGTTGCTAGTGAAACTACAGGCTATTCTTCACTGGAGGTAGTTCAGCTATAGCACCACTGCACTTTCATTGAAAGTAGAAACTTACACAACAAGCTCTTTAGAAAAAAAGAGCTTAATAAATGAAGCTTAGCGTAAACAAACATGCAGTTTACAAGGGCAGTATCTGAGGTAGAACAAACTGCAGGACGCAGAGCCATCATTTCTGAGCTTTTCTTTTTCTTCAATAAAGAATACAATCTGGTAATGAAGTATTTTACTACCTTGCTACTTAAGGAAAAACAAGTTAATTGCTAGAAACGCTAATGCCAGTACGTAGCTGCCTCTAAAACCACAAATTATTACATTTTTGTTGAGCTTATGAGGTACTGTAGGGGGATTTTTGAACTTTGGACACAGCAAGGCTGGCTGTTTCCCCTGCTTCCACAAACAAGTACTTTGTAAAACCATCTGACTTGAGTTTTTCGGTCAGTATGCAGAGATTATGCTTTTATTGTGAAGGATTTGAACCAAAGGTGTGGTGGTTGTTGCTCATTCAGGGACATAAGTAAAATATTTTCTGAATAACATTAAAGTTTTCTTTATGTCCTAATGTCACTTCTGGGTCTCCGTAGCCTGAGGAGTGTCAGAAAGTTGGAATTCTCCACTTCATACCATGAAAACAGTGACAGAAAACCCCTCCTGGCCAATGTTCCAATCAAGAAACATCTCTGACTGAATTTACTGAGCATTTATTTTCACATCCTCTTCCTCTGTCTCTGTCCATGTCTGTATTTCACAGCGGTGGGCGTTGCCTCTCACCACTGTCCCTTGCTGGCGGTGCTCCTCCTCTGCTGTGAAATGCTATAAATCTCCTGCAGCTGTTTCTTCTGGTCGTCGCTGAGTGGAGCTGTTAAACACTGGTACCAGGCTGCATCAGTGTTCTGGACCCCTAAACACACACATAGGACCAACGAGAAAGGTTATACAGAATGAGGGTGTTTTCATGCAGCTACAGTCTAGATGAAAAGATTAATACATTAAGTGATTAGTTTTACTAATTAATAACTAACTGTGAAAATCAAAAATGGTTCAAATTATTTATCAAGCAACAATGGCAAAAATGCTCAAATGCGAGGATCCGCTGCTGGACATACTTCAATGATTCAATTACTTAAATCAACAATATGGTTTATCTAAACCGGAGTATTTAAATTCTGACGCTGTGGGGTGCCCTTCAGACAAACTCAAGATAACCATGACAGTGTTAGTGTAAAATCCATGTCAACAGGAAACTAAGACAAACAGGGTACTCTGCACAAGTTCCAGCAATATGCAGTTGACTCAGGTGAAAAAGAGGGACTGGAGCATACGGATTGATTTGCAGCCTTTAAATTGTACAAAAGACTAATGTCACACAACACTGCTGTGTCTTCAGAGTCAAAATGGGCAAACACACAGGGCAAACACAGGGCAGTATATAGTCAACCTAGAACAGCTGTTGTCATTGGATAATTGATTGAACAGGATTTCTACTCTATTGATGATGGATCCAAAGGTGGAGTTTCCATAATTCTGAGCCTTTAAATCTGAGCCAATCATTCTTCGTCTTCCTTCTATCTAGGGGATGGAGGAAGGTTTGAAATTACAGGTCCCATGATGCTTTGGGCAGTGTATAGTAGGATAATAAGTATAATTTTGCCATGGATTCAGTGAGTTACACTGTGGGCTACAACTTGAGCACCCATCACTGAATTACTGATTCTGATGAAAACTTAAAAAAGTAATGATTCTTATAACTCCAGAACTTGCCTATGACACAACCGTCAAGGTAGTCAGAATATCATGTTCATCCCGCATAAATGTCCATAAATCCACTTAGATGTCAACATGAATATCTGGTGTCAGGATTTGGATTGGATTTAATTTACTGTTGGTTCAGTTGGGAGTTATTGTATTGTGGTGGACCTGTTATGGACATCGAGTTCTGCCCTTGTCCAGCCGCATGAGGATAATGAAGATGCAGCAGCTCACTTGGTGGGGAAGAGATCTGACCAGGAAAATGGTTTACATCGATAGATTTGCAGGATACTTATTCCACCATCAGCATAGCGGAGAGAGACACTCATCCGGTTTGACATATGACAGCAGTGCTTATATAAACCAGCTGGGGGGCACGTGTTCCATAACATTACACAGACTGGCCCAGAGATGATAACGTGGAGCAGCAAGTGTCTGCTTTATCGGTTTACTTTTTAAATGCATCATCATCATCGTCAAATATAGGAATTTATATACACTCATAAGTGGATGTCATGCTTCAGAGACACAGCTTTGGCAAAAGTAAAGCAGCATTAGCTGGGAGAAGAAAAGACCTAAAGAGTTACTCAAGCTGACACCTGGACTTACGGAGCAGGGCGGAGGTGAAGAACCGATACTCGTCCTCCCCGTTGTCATAGTCCAGTGGCGTGCTGTACTCCTCCAAGGGGGTTCCCTCAAAGCCATCGTCATCCCAGTAGTCATCTTCATCTTCATCTTCATCCTCGCCACCCTCTCCTGTTGGCATGGTGGGTTGCTGCTGCATGGCGTTACGGTTCTCATTCACCTCATCTTCATCACTGGGAATCTCCTCTGTCCATACAAAAAATAATTAAGACATTAGGATCAAAGGCTTCACAATGCCAATTCTCTCTGGCCATTTTGAACAAGCACACAGAATCACACGATACAGATAATGGAACAAGTATCACTATATCATTACATAAAAAACATAAAAAGTCCCTTTTTATTCTTAGGAAAGTTAGAGTGCTGGAATATCTAGTTAACCTCACTGACATAATATTAGAAATACCTCTCAGAATAGCAGTACACACAGCCTCCAAATTGACCATAATGTTGAAACAACACTTCAATTAAACAATTTCAACAAAAACTGCAACATTAATTGCATTAGTTTAGCTAAGTGTACCTGATACAGTGGCAACTAATTGTATACGTATTTTGCATTGGCTTCACGATTAAGCTGTGTTAGCGGTCATGGAGGTAATCGGTCCCTCCAGGATTTTGCGACGTGTGAATGTCAATTTGCGAACTGTCAACACAAATTCAACAAATCCCTGTTGAATTTAGCGTGACTTGCAATTTAGACCAATCAGCACATCTTTTCCGCAAATTTGACCCATCACTGCCGTTTTCCTCAAAACGCTATCATACATCAGCTTGTCATTTCTTTGTTTACAAGTCGCAACAGATATGTTCGATACCAACATCTCAAATTTGCCGGGAAAAAAAGAAAGACCGTGAAAAACATTATCTACCTTCTTAACATTATTTTCAAAACATGCAGTATTGTGGTAAAACATAAAAGGAAATTGTGATTGACACACAGTTCAAGAATCATTCTAAAGTTTAAAAAGAAAAACAGCTACCTTTGCATTTTTCACTTAATCCCACAATCACAAAAACGCCCAAAACATCACAACTGCAATTTTTTTAGAAAACCTGCTGCAAAATCAGGCACCGCAACCATAACTTAAAAAGCCTGCGAAATCCTGGAGGGACAGCTTAGTGCAAATAAAAAAAAGGAGTGCGAGAGAAACATACTAATTTGTCATTGATCGCCTTTTTGTGCCTAACCTATCACTTGTATGAGCTCCATCTTTATTAGTACTCTCAATGTGAACATAAATGATTTACAACAAATACCTGACAACAGTGGTTACACTAAAGCTTGTTAAGGATGTTATTCTGTTACTTGATATTTGCTCTTTAACACTATCCTTTGATACTCATGACTGAAAGCATATTTTAAATCTGAACACGTTCAATGTTCACTGGAAGCAAATGTTAGCTTTTCTATTAAGAATACACGATTCTGAACCATTTAATGCCTTGAAATCAATGGGTTTTTAATACCAGGCTGCAGGAGAAACCCTTTAGTCGTGACCGTAGCACTAAGTTAATTTATCAGTCTGCCCCACAAGCAGTAGACAAGGTTTAGGAATCTAATTCCTTTATGCTTGACTGAAGCAAAGAAAAGCCAATGGGGGTGAGAAAGAAAATGTGTTGCAGCTAATTTGAGCTCAGGGCTGAATCAGGATTTGAGCAGTGGAAGATCAGAGGTTGGCAAAAATGGAAAATCTCATTTAATTATCATTACTATTGCCAGTTTATTTTCTTTCTGTTCTTATTTATTCTACAGTACTTCCTCCTCCTCAGTCTTACACTCTGTCTTTCCAGTTTTTTCTATTCATCTAATTTGTCCTGAGCTTTTCTCACCATTCTGGTCTTCATCCTGTGCCCCTGAGCGGGCCAGCAGGTCTGGTTTGTTGATGAGGCGGGAGGCGTAGAGGTGTTTGAGGCCCAAGAACAGGAGCAGGATGGAGGGGATGATCTGGGCGGTGACTCCCTCCAGCACCGCCGGGCGGCTGGGCAGCTCCATCAGTACGCTCAGGCCAATGATGCACATCTTACGGTCGTGGAGCCTGGGGAGTGCATCAGGGAGAGAGGACAGAAGAGAAAGACTGAGAATGAGGGCAACTGAAGGGACATACTCTTTAAAGAATACACAATATATTGACTACTTAGTTTCAAGGTATCTATAGGCACTAAAAGAGACAAATTAAAACTTCTTAACATGTTTGTAATCCACCTGGAATTGAATTTAAAATGAATTTAACAACCCAAAATAAAACACAAATCTGGCAAAGATGCCCACTTCCAAATTCACACAGCTAATGAATAATCGGAAATTATGAATTAGCAGCCTGAGAAACTAAAGGATTTTATGTGCATTTGATTATAAGAAGTATATTAATATTGCATTTGTATTGCAGTACAAATTAGCTTTAATGCATGATGAAAAATCAATTTAATTTCAACCTGTTAAAAAAAATAAAAATAACAACAACAACAACAATAATAATAATAATAATAATAATAATCTCATTTAGCTGACACTTTTTATCCAAAGTGACTTACAATTGCTATATACACACTCACCGGCCACTTTATTAGGTACACCATGCAATTGTTTGTTAACACAAATAGCTAATCAGCCAATCACATGGCAGCAACTCCATGCATTTAGGCATGTAGACTTGGTCAAGACAACTTGCTGAAGTTCAAACCGAACATCAGAATGGGGAAGAAAGGGGATTTACATGACTTTGAATGTGGCATGGTTGTTGGTGGCAGATGGTATTTTTCAGAAACTGCTGATCTTCACGCACAAACATCTCTAGGGTTTACAGAGAATGGTTGAAAAAGAGAAAATATCCAATGAGCGGCAGTTGTGTGGACGAAAATGCCTTGTTGATGTCAGAGGTCAGAGTAGAATGGGCAGACTGGTTCCAGATGACAGAAAAACGAGTAAGTCAAATAACCACTCGTTACAACCAAGTTATTCAGAACACCATCTCTGAACGCACAACACATCGAACCTTGAAGCAGACGGGCTACAGCAGCAGAAGACCACACTGGGTGCCACTCCAGTCAGCTAAGGACAGGAAACTGAGGCTACGATTCACACAGGCTCACCAAAACTGGACAACACAAGATTGGAAAAACGTTGCCTGGTCTGAGTCTCGATTTCAGCTGCGACATTCAGATGGTAGGATCAGAATTTGGCGTAAACAACATGAAAGCATGGATCCATCCTGCCTTGTATCAACGGTTCAGCCTGGTGGTGGTGTAATGGTGTGGGGGATGTTTTCTTGGCACACTTTGGACCCCTTAGCACCAACTGAGCATTGTTGAAACACAACAGCCTACCTAGTATAGTTGCTGACCATGTCCATCCCTTTATGACCACAGTGTACCATCTTCTGACGGCTACTTCCAGCAGGATAATGCACCGTGTCACAAAGCTCAAATCATCTCAAACTGGTTTCTTGAACATGACAATGAGTTCACTGTACTCCAATGGCCTCAACAGACACCAGATCTTAATCCAATAAGAGTCCCTTTGGGATGTAGTGGAACGGGAGATTCGCATTATGGATGTGCAGCCAACAAATCTGCAGCAACTGCATTGCTGTTGGGAATGCCTCGAGAAAGTGGCTGATTGTCAGTAACATCAGATCAGATTATCAGAATATGCTACCCCTGATATCTTAAATAAAGATGGCATAATATAGTATTTCAACATGCTCCCCATCTCCGTACAGTACACATGGAGTGAGTAGTGGTGCAATATAAAATGATTCTGTAATGGGAGCATTATTTGATAGGGGAGAATACGCTACCCCTGACATGAAGTTATTCTGTTTTTTGATTATATTATATGTCATAATACTGTGAGAGTTATAACTTTATGGGATTTAAAAAGGGAACACGTAAGGTAGCATTTTTCGATAGGGCAGAGCGACTCGATAGACTCTGCTATCGATTTGCGCTACGGTAGCATTTTTCGACAAGGCAGCATAGATCGTCAGAACACCGGATACTGTGTGTGGAGCAGAGAAACCCGGACTCCCTTGTTATTGTTCTCAGTGACTTTAACAGGGGAAATCTCAGCCAAGAACTCCCCAAATACAGTTTATAAAGTGTCCAACCAGAGAGGGGAACACTATCATGCCGTCACGCGTGCTCCACTGGGACACTCTGATCACGTGATAGTCCATCTGATTCCTGCATACATGCAGAAATTAAAACTCTGTAAACCTGTAGTGCTACCAACAACCTGGATGAGTTTACAGAGGCTGTGACTTCTTACATCAGCTTCTGTGAGGACAGCTGCATTCCAACACGGACCAGGGTGGTTTATAACAATGACAAACCCTGGTTCACAGCTAAGCTCAGACAGCTGAGGTTGGAAAAGGAGGAGGCATTTAGGAGTGGTGACAGGGCAAGGAGGTGCGAGAAGCTAAACGACTGTACTCAGAGAGACTAAAGAACCAGTTCTCTGCAAACGACGCCACTTCTGTCAGGGGGGTTCAGACAGATCACAAACTATAAATCCAAAGTCCTCCACTCCATAAACGATGCTCGACTGGCAAATGAGCTGAACCAGTTCTACTGCTGCTTTGAGAGTCAGACACCATCCCCTGTGACTCCTCTGGTCAGCTTCAGCCTCAGTCCAGCCTATTTGTGGATTTCAGCTCTGCTTTCAACACCATCATCCTGGCCGTGCTGCAGGACAAGCTCTCTCAGCTGAACGTGCCTGGCCACCTCCTCCATCACCATCTGGTACGCTGCTGCCACTGCCAGGGACAAGGGCAGGCTGCAGCGTATCATTTGCTCTGCAGAGAAAGTCTTTAGCTGCAATCTTCCTTCTCTTCTGGACCTGTACTCCTCCAGGACTCTGAGGCGAGCAGGAAAGATTGCAGCTGACTCCTCCCACCCCGGACACAAACTGTTTCAGACTCTCCCCTCTGGCAGGAGGCTGCGGTCCATCAGGACCAAAACCTCTCGCCACAAAAACAGTTTCTTTCCGTCTGCAGCTAGCCTCATCAACAAGGCCCAGGTCCCCTACTGACACTCCCCCCTTGCAGACAATACAAAGAGCACATGTATATATATTATTTCATTTCATATCATGCACAAATCTGGCACATTGTACATATTTTGTTAATTGTTAATCTTTGTTTTTGTAAATTTTTATATTGTAAATTTATATATTTATGTACACAATACTCTCTTCCGCTGCAATACGTCTGCACAATACAAACCCGGAATAATGCACATGTAAATATCTGCGACGTTGTTCTTGCAAATCGTTGTATTATTTTTCTCAATTTTTTTTATTATTCTGATAACTTGCATTGTCTATTTCATATTTATATATTTCTACATTTATTTATGCCAACTATATGTTTGTCTACGTGTAGCACCTTATCACCACAGCAAATTCCTCGTATGTGTAAAACACTACTTGGCAATAAAGCTCCTTCTGATTCTGATTCTGTTTAACCCATACACAAAGAGAAATCTAAAAAATTTTCTGGTTTTAGGGTGTTTCAGTGGAACTGTACTTTCAGTGCAGTACTTCAGTGCAATGTTTACTGCTTTAGCGTGGGGTATGCTAAGCTAGGCTAATGTTCTTGCCCTGAGGAAACAAAGTCAATCACCAAAATTCAAAGTGCTGTGACTGAAACCTCCCCCACTCAGTACCACAAACATTGAACAATGAATTAAATGACTATGTGTGATGTGCTTGCAGTAACAAACACACACACACAAAAAAAAAAATAAATTGCTCAACAACAACTACAAAGCTTTTAGCCCTTTAGCTTTTTTTAGCTCACTATTTTGGATTAATGGCTAACTTATTGTACGGTTCACTGCTCTCGTCAATCTTATTTCAGCAGCAGCAGGTGATGACCAAAACTAAGCTAAAAGGAAGTGAACATTTACCTCTGTAAATTTATCAGGTCGACACAAACACCTCTCCACATGAATGATAAGGTTGCTCTACTACTTTTTAGGGACCAGTCCCAACTCTGATATGCAAATGTGCACCACTGACTAATTACAAACCATCCTGACATTGTTGACCTTTGAAGGAAGGGAGAACCATAGATTCCAAAATGGAGGAAGTGCCACTTTCTACGCAGACTGGGTACTTAAGGCAGCAATGTCAGGACTGTCTCTGTCAGCTTGTTGTATTGTTCTTCTGCCCTCAAGTACTTTTATCCAAAATGAGTCTACCGTAACACCAGAAGCCTCCCCCTCACCCTAGGAAGAACTCGGTGTCATTCATCCACTGGTTGATGAAGTGGGCAGTGATGGGCTGTGGGTTGTGTTGGAAGTGCATGTTGTCGAGAGTGTGGATGAGCAGGGTTGGGTTGTAGTACAGAGCTGCGATGGCCACCTGCAGGCACATGGTCCTCAGCTCGCTGGACTTCACCCCCCGCATCAAACGCTCCAGAACTGCCTCCACAAACAGAGGGATGCACTGCACATAGGAAACACAGAGAAATCAGTCTGCTGCAGCTGAAAGCAACAGGTACATAGATCTCTAATTTCATATAACAACATGTCACAAAGTCAGCTTAGAGATTTCACAATCTGACACACAAAGTACAGTAACTTTAGCCAAGTACAAAGGATTTGTCTGTATACACTAATTTAAAGAGGTCATGTTATGCTTTTTGCCTTTTTCCCTCTCCTTTATTGAGTTATATATCTTTTTTGTGCATGTAACAGGTTTGCAAAGTGAAAAAGCCCAAAGTCCACCCCACGGAAAACTCTGCTCTGAACTGCCTGAAAACAACTCGTTTGTAGTCCAGCCGCTTCCCTTTCATCCCTGTGACGACACAGCAAAATGTACATCATAATGCTCGCCTAGCGGCTAGTCCGGCATGCCCTCAAAAACACCAGTGGAAAAACACACTGCGCTGCAGCCCACAGTGACAAGACCTTCCAAACAAACACGCTGTCAATGGACATAAAGGTGTTACTGTGATGTAGAGACAGAGCTCGGTTAAAACTTTATGGATGAAAGATCCTTTTGTTACAGATTAATAAATCACCACTCTGAAAACCTTGCTCCAGTCCATGTTGCTAAATGGGTAAGGGGATGTACAGCTGAACTGAAGCCGTGTTAACGACCCGCCCTTCTCTTCTTCTGATTGGCTAGTAGTCCTTAATTAGGAACTGTGCATGTGCAACTCCCAACAAAGATCATGAAGAGGTAAGATATTTCACATCATAGCTAAAACGAAACCTTCAACACAGGGTGAAAAGAGGAAGCAATTTGCAGTATGACAAAAATATGGTGTTTTTTGAAAATGAAACCATGTAAACATGTTCTGGTACAACCCCTAAATAAGATTTTGAATACTAAATTATGAGCACCAATGAAGAGTTTGGCCCATGTCATTTTACTAGGTTAGGCTTTCTAAGCAAAGTGAACTGCTGGCTATGCGATATGTAAACATTATGATTAACGATTATTTTCAGTATCGTATAATCTGTTGATTAGTTATTTGTTCTATAAAATCTCAGAAATGGTTTAAATGTACATGATTGTTTCCAAAAGCCCAAGATGACGTTTCACCAACTCATCGTTGCAGCTTGTGTCCATTTACTTATATCACATAACTAAGTATTAGTGTTGCACGGAATACAGATACCAGAAAAATATCGCAATACGTTAAAAAATGATCCAATACTGCCTTTTATTGGTATCAATACTTGTTGACAATGTTTTAATAAGAGCCGCTGCGAGCAGAGTAGTATGTGTGTGTCTGTTTCTAAACCACACAGACAACACGTCCAAATTTGCAAAGCATGTTACCGACATGCCGACTGGTTCAAAGAACTCAGAGAGCGAATGTGATAACACAATTACATGCCCTCAATATAAATCAAACGAGTGGATTTAAAGTGTGACAGTAAACTTTTTTAGCATCGGAGTTTGTCGAGCATATTAAGGGCAGTGTTTAACGGTTTAAATTGTTTTTAGCCTTTTAGCTAACATACCAATGTGGCAAACATCTCTGTATGCAAACACAACTGGTAACTTTTAAACCACAACTTTCAAGCTACAAATCAGGCGTTCACAAGCAGGCCTACGCAGACAACACCAACTATAAGTTAAACATTTATACTCAAATCAGTATTGGTAATGCTGACCATGGCATGTACATTCTTGCCAATTTTTTCTATTAGTAGATGTGCTCAATAGAGCGCAGACCTCCGCGACGGAGGTGTACTGAGTCATGAGCTGTAATCAAGTATAGGGGACATCAGATTCCTGCATACCATGTAAAAGCTTTAAAGACATTGATCTACATATTTACAGTAATCCAATTACTAGTGTGCTAATTCATTTTCAAATCACACCTACCTGTATGATAGACAAACATGGAAACACTTCATCAGCACTACAACTTTATTTAGCATGAAAATGACAATAACTTTAAATCTGGCACTTGGTGGCCCTGGTGATGAACCCAGGATTATTAGTAATAATAAACCCACGATTAATACTAATAATCCTGTGTTTTGAGCTTCATCACCTAATAATTTATTAGCCCGCTCACTACAGTAGCACAGCAAAGTAGACAGAACACACGTGACTCAATACACCTTGTGCGGAGATCTGGGCTCTACTGAGAGCATTTCCTAGTTTTCTATTTAGTCAAATTAAATGACACTTAATGAGAACAGGCTCTGTTGTAAAGGTGATTGCAATCTACAGTACATAGGATATTTTCAGTTTTTTTATTTAATATAAAAACTGAACTTCAAAGTTCCATGTTCTGTCTTTTATTATTCCATTAATTTTCCAGATTTTTTTAGATTTTGCTGTGGTATCATTTCAGTATCGGTATAGAGATATCTAGGGAGGTATTGTATCAAAGTCATAATTTTGGTATCATGACAACACTACTAAGTATTAGTTCATATAACGATTTTTTACAGAAAAATGTTGTACAATGTATTCAAAACGTAATGCATAATGTAGTTTTAAAAAGGCACTTTCAAACTCCTTTCAAATTTCATGCTGTCTCTGTTATTATCCAGCGAATTTAAAAATTGTTGTGCTCTACCGCCCACCAGGTCCTCTCAAGGAATTCCTGGAGGAATCAGACATCCTTCTATTGGACCCAGGCACAGACACTCTCCTCTCTACTTTATCCTCTTCTCTGGACTCTCTCTGTCCTCTCGTCTTTCTGCGGGCCTGGCCAACCCCTCCAGCTCTGTGGTTCTCTGACTCTGAGCTGACAGAACCACTAACCGAAAAAGTTTGGGAATACTAGCAGTCTGAGGACCTCCTCACCTGTAAATCTATCCTCTTTCTCTGCCTTCTTATTAGCAACTAAACACTATCTCTTCAATCCAAAATTCAGTCTTCCTTCTGCAACTCTATCCCTTTGACCATGTAAGTTACCACTGGCTATTAAGTATTTTCTCTCTTATGCCATAACTTGCTAATATGCATATGTCTTGAACTGTCAAAAATAACTGAAACCCATAAGCGAGCCATTTACTAGTCTTGTAAAATGATCAAAGTGAGCATAATGTTGCAGTGTGTAGGCTCATGTTAAATGCTCAGTTTGCATGAGTTATTATTGGCTAATGTATTGCCAGCCTTCAGCAATATCATTAATTCATTTTACTTCAGTCACAGATGCTGACACCCTTGCCTTAATAAAGGCAATGATCAAGCTGGATAACCTCTACAGTAAATGTAATATATTATTTACATACATACAATAATTGGGATTCATGTTGATAAATATAGGTGGGCAGGAGAGAGAGTGTGGGCAAGCATTCTCAATGTAAAAAAATATTTTGACAATATCCACTATTATATAATCAATAGTGTTAAAAGCATCAAGTTTAAAATGAACTTGGAACATGACTGCTGGTGTCAATGAAGGGCTGTCTGAGTTCATGGGACAGGGTAGTGGGTGTAAGTCAGACAGAAAAGGTTAGGAACCACTGTGTCACTGTGATGACAGATGCTTTAAAAAAGGAACGTCAGTCACTTTGGTGACTGACTATATACCTGATCAATGCCTCTGCCTCTGCACTGCAGGATGATGACCTCCAACAGTTTGGCAGCGTGACACTCTGCATCCTCACCTGCGTCTATGGTCAGCACCTACAGCAGGTCAAAGGTCAAAAGAGTAGACCAGTCAACACTCTCATTAACGCTGACAAAACTGGATCCTTGTTCACATTTTCTGTAACCTTGAGCTGCAGCTGAAGGCATTTATAGCCTGACCTTTTTGCACATGCTGTAGATGACTTCTAAGTGCTTAGGGTTGGACAGAAGCATGTCTGTATCCACGGTAACATAGTTGTGCAAAAGAGGCATCATATCTGTAACACGAACACAGACCATCATTAACATTGTCTCGTCAACATGCATACAACAACATATATTTCATTTTAGGTACATTCAGTATTTGGCAGCAGCCGACTGTTTATGACACTGCAGCGGACTTAATGTACAGTACTCTTCATAACTTAGCTTTCCAGAAACCAACAGAGTTTTTCTCCTGGAATACTGAAAGTGTTAATAAGTGTGTGCACATCCATGGGGGACATACCTGTGAAGTAGTCGAAGCAGTCGTGCTGGAAGACCTCATACAGGACGCCCAGAAGCTGCCACATCTGGGGGGAGATGGTCTGACAAGTCAGGCCAAACGCCAGTGACAGGATCTCCTCGTAGAACTCTGCAGAGGACAGGAAAGGACTTTTAATGAATCTCACACATGCGCAAAATATTCTGCATTACATTGCCTAGAATAGGACAAATTTAATCAGGGCTTGACATCAGCAACAGCCCATCCCCCAAATGCAGGTTAACTTCGCCCATGGTGTGTAATACGGTCACACTTACAAGCAACTTTGGTGGGTTGCATTCATAGAGCTGTCCCCTGGTGTTATCAGTTGGAAACACCCTGGGTTGACTCACATTTTATCAGTCAAATAAATGCAATTTTTTTTTCTAGCTGTGTCATTGTACACAGCGCAAAGCAGGAACAACAGCATGGCTGGCTATAAACTTTACAGAGTCTTAAAATGACCACAAACCACCAAACTAACTGTGATGGAAGCAGAGAAGGGTGACAGAAACAGAGGGCAGTGTGAGGCGCGACAGGACGACTCCAGTCTGTTACTACTACTACTACTCTGAAGCTCATCGCTGTCAGCAGCTAGGAGACAGAGGCTGAGGAACTAGTTAAGTGGATCTATCAGAAAAACCGTGAAAACATAACAATGGATAAATAAAGCACACAGTGTGATGTGACATTGTAAAAAAAAAAAATTCCTTCTGTTTTGAAAGAGCACGGGTGATGTCCTCCACAGGCCGATCCATCATAGAGGGACTGGAAAGCACCAGAGGGCTGATATAACAAACATACTTCATGTCCATGCATGGATATCCTGGCATTGAAAAATGCAGCCAGGAGAGCCAGAAAAGTAGTAGTTAGTTTATTGCTTTATAGTGGTGTCTGAGATGTGTGTCACATTTTCTGAAAGGAGCCAATGCTGATCAAAGACCAACTAAATGAACCACAGCAAATGGCGGGCATTGAATTCCATCGGAATGGAACTATCTTTTGGTAACAGATTACGTAGAGGTAGCACAGCAGCATATTCTGTCATCACACATATGTCAGGCAAGGACATTTACACTTGAAAAGCAGAAGTTTTCTAAGAGTTCTAGTTATTAGAGTTGCAGTATGTTATACTAGCCCAGGGGTTCTTAACCTTTCTGGCAGTCCGACCCCTTTTTAAAGTTGAAAATATTTTTTTAAAGCAGAGTTTTTAACTACAAATCGTTTTCGAGCCTGCAAAGCGCTTTCTGTGTGATCAGGGCCTGATTATTCTTTGTCGTTTTATAGCGGTATACCTACTGGATTAAATATTTACAGTGTCCACCCAAAGTGATTCCATTCACAACTGTAGTCCGTCTTAGTTGTTTTTATTTTTTTTCTATTTTTGTGTCACGACCACGAGGTTAAGAACCACTGTACTAGCCTGTCTAGGAAAGGGAATTTCCTATGATCTTCATATAGAATGTTGGAGGAGATTAGCATTGTGTGTACGATAATGTAGTTAGCAGAGCTAGCGTGAAGTTCCACACAGTAAAGGATTTCACCCCTTTCATTAAAAAGAAACATTACATAATGGAGGACTGATCCTGACAGATTAAGAAATAAATACAGAAATAAATAAATGCTCAATAAATAAATAAGCATCAGACTAAATGCACAAAAAATAAAGTAAATAAATGTAGGCAGTAGTTAAATTATACAATGAGAATATGAAATATATATATATATCTCTATCTATCTCTATATATCTCTATCTCTATCTATCTCTATATCTCTATCTATCTCTATATCTCTATCTATCTATCTATCTATCTATCTATCTATCTATCTATATCTATATCTATATATATATATATATCTATATATCTATATATATATATATATATATATATATATATATATATATATATATATATATATATCTCTATCTATCTATCTATATCTATATATATATATATCTATATATATATATATATATATATATATATATATATATATATATATATATATATATATATATATATATATATATATATATATATATCTCTCTATCTATCTATCTATATATATATCTTATTTATTCACTACCTTTATTTATTGTCCGTTATAATCTGAAATGCATTTATTTGTGTGTGTGTTTTATTCTTGCTTTGCTTTTCTACCCTATTTACTTCCCCAATGGTATTTATTTCTGTTGTCCTTCAACTTCTCCCCTACTGGTGGACCAGTCAGACAGCAGAGGCCTACTCTACCTGCACACAACAACAAGCTTGCTCCTCACACAGTCAGACGGCTTCCTTCACTGAAATAAAGTGTTTAGCAAGTCTATTTGAAGACAATTCTACCAGCCATTTTTTAAGCCAAAAATGCTTAATTTTTGCTTAAAATACAGGGGGAGGGGGCGTGTAGTGGTGTACACTCCTCCTGCTGTTAGATGTAGTCACACCTGCCTCTGTTGATGTCTGGTCCACCCTACCCCAGGCTGTGAAGTGTCTTTCAGAAAAGGTGTCAGAGCGAGAGGAACTGGGGTCTTGGAGAGACTCTCGCCCTGGAGAGTGAGCCCTAGCTTAGCAGAGAGATATTGGAAGCAGAGATGTGGAAGAATATGTATTGTATGTTCAATTGTTGCTGACTGCAGCTTTATAGGAGCTATAATAACTGCTGGCAAATCTTAATAAATACAGTACAGCAATGAGTGGCAGCGTGAAAAAAGGTAATTTAAACGTTTTGCAAGACTGAATGACTACATCAAAAATGGGGAAAGTAGTTAAAGCCCCCTCTCCAGCTTTAAGCTTTCTGTGGGACAATGTGTCTCTAAGTAGACAACCGAGGCCTATTGCATATGAGGTGATGATGAGACCATATCCCAGCGTCCACTGGAAGCGTCTCAGAAGTGTTTCAGCAACAGAGCGTGCAGCCTGCACCACATTATTTACTTATTATTAATTTCTCCTTTTTGTGCTTCGACTACCTTCTTCACAGCTCTCTGTGACCCCGTTTTGTTCTGTCAACTTCAGGCTGCATATCCCACAAGGAGCATTTCAGAATCAAAGCATTTTGCCTGCCTGATTTTGCTGACATGTTTAGATTTTGTTGATTTGGTGACCAGTGTTTGTCTTTTGTGCTTCTACTATGATTAAGTAGGCTACATAGTTAAATGATTTCTTTTTTTGTGTCGGTTTTAACCATGTTTATTATTGTTTTACGATGGGGAGTCTCCGCAGGGAGTTTTATTTTGAAAACTGACCAGGTTCTCTCTGGTGTTCTGTGTCTGACTTCCTGCCTGGTTCGATCTGCTCTGTGCTGCTTCTGTCAAAAATAGACCTGCTACCTATACACTCCACTCTAATTAGGCTCATCTCTGCTGGGGGCAGCATCCTGATGCACCGCAGCCTTCTGCCGGAGGGGTAGTGATGGCGCAATGGATAAGACACATGCCTTTGGTGTGAGATACCCAGGTTCAACTCCCCACTGTAACCTATCCACTAAAGTGTCCCTGAGCAAGACACTTAACCCCTAGCAACTTTAAGTCGCTTTGGGGAAAAAAATGAATAAATGTAAGAGTTTAAAACTCCCCTCATCCCTGCTGGGGATGAGTCCGCCTACAGGTGAGAGATTGACCCACCAGATGGTTGATCTCCTTTTTCAGCCACCTTCTCACCCTGGTGCAGTCAGAACTACCTAGAGCTCAATGCTCTGAGGACAGTGGAGATGGTCGTGGATTTTAGAAAGAGCCCAGCCCCACTAAACCCCATCACCTTGTGCTTCCACGTCCTGGGCACCACCATCTCCCAGGACCTCAAGTGGGAGCCAAACATCACCTCCCTCACCAAGAAGGCCCAGCAGAGGATGTACTCTTTGCGGCAGCTGAAAAAATTCAATCTGCCAAAGACAATGATGGTCCACTTCTACACCGCCATCATTGAGTCCATCCTCACCTCCTCCATCACCATCTGATATGCTGCTGCCACTGCCAGGGACAAGGGCAGACTGCAGTGAATCATTCGCTCTGCAGAGAAGGTGATTGGCTGCAATCTTCCTTCTCTTCAGGACCTGTACTCCTCCAGGGTTCTGAGGAGAGTAGGAAAGATTAGGGGTGACCCCTCCCAACCCGGACAAAGACTCCCCTCTGGCAGAAGGCTGCTGTCCATCAGGACCAAAACCTCGCGCCACAAGCACACTTTCTTTCCATCTGCAGCGGGCCTCCTCAACAAGGCCTGGGACCCCCAAAGTTACTGTATCTCGTGTCCCCCACCACAACACCTGAACCAACAACTCACAACTTTGAATTGCACTAATTCTTTCTTGTTAATATTGGTGGACTGGTGAATTGCAGCTTGGAAGTTTTTGAACCAGGGAAAGACCAACAGAACCAACACAACCCACAACACACTTTATGTGAAAAGGATTACTGAACAATATTTATTAGAAGGAGCACATATTGGCACACTGGCACTGAGCAGCACACCACAAAGCTTGTTCAATCATGTTTTTATCAACTTAGAAATATAGCTAAAATTCGATCTATGTTAACTTTTAAGGACACCGAGACCATTTTACACGCCTTCATCTCATCACGCCTGGATTATTGCAACAGCCTTTTCACCTGTTTAACCCAAAAATCTATTGATCGACTCCAGACTGTCCAGAACTCAGCTGCCAGGCTTTTAACCAGAACAAAGAAATATGACCACATTACTCCTATTTTAGCTTCATTACACTGGCTCCCAGTATGTTTTAGAATTGACTTTAAAATTCTATTGATCACTTTTAATGGCCACTCGCCTTGTTATATTTCTGACCTTTTAGTCCCATACGCACCAGCACGTACCTTGAGATCCTCGGGCAGAGGTCTGTTGTCTGTTCCAGAGTCTCGACTGAAAACTAAAGGGGACAGAGCGTTTGCTGTCAGGGCCCCGAGGCTCTGGAACAGCCTACCCGAGGAAATCAGGTCGGCTGAGTCAGTGAACTCTTTTAAGTCCCTTCTTAAAACATACTTTTATAGGAGAGCTTTTCCCGATCTTATTTGACTTTATTTGATTTGATTGTATTTTACTAATTTATCTTAAACATGTATTTTAGTTTTTTCAATGTTTTCTTGCTTTTATCATGTATTGTTTTTGTATTATTGTCGTTTGGGTATTATTGTCTTTACACTTTGTAACTTGTTTTTGAAAAGTTCTCTACAAATAAAGATTATTTTAATTATTATCATGACTCTGGTTAAATCTACATCTGTCTACAACCTGGAGGAGGAACTAGTATAAATGAGTGTATTAGTATGATATTATAACATTATGTTCAGTTAATAGTATATTGTTAGAATAACAATAATACAATGTGGCAATGGATAAGACACATGCCTTTGGTGTGAGAGACCCGGGTTCAATTCCCCACTGTGACCCATCCACCAATGTGTCCCTGAGCAAGACACTTAACCTCTAGTTGCTCCAGAGGCGTGCGACCTCTGACATAATTAGCAATTGTAAATCGCTTTGGGAAAAAGTGTCAGATAAAGATGTAAGTGTAAATATTAATTACTATATTCATTATAATTTTGTATAATCGTTTAATATTTTACCACTAGTTGAACATTAAATCCAGTTACAGCAGTTTCATTTCGGGTTGTTTTTATTCATTAAATCCTTGTGCAAGAAAAATGCTCTACATTGTTCTCTAATTTGTATCGTCTAATCTAACTTGTCAATAATCATATTGACATTGTTCAGCTTGCTGTAGGACGTCACACTTTTTTTTTTAACGTCCCGCACACAGGCTTTAAGAAAAGTTGAACATGATGAACAAAAGACACTCAAACAGCAACGTTAAATGGCCAGCGAGCCAAACCTAAACCTTTCTTATCTTCTTCCTGTTTTATCTCTGCCTCTGTCACAGAACACCGACCCACAGGCTTTTCTCTCGTGCTCGTCCGACTGTTTTGAAAGATTGGTGGTGGCAGGGAGGGGGGCTTACGGCAGGTTGTGTCTTTACCGTTAGGCACACCCTGCTCATAAATCATTTTTGTGGTTTGCACAGATCTGTTTTTAGGGGCATATGCGAGAGCCTGGTGTGGGTTGGATAATGAGCAGACTGCAGTGCACACAGAGAAGAGAGTGTCACACACAGCACACTTTTTTTGTCTAATTAAATCGCACCCTTTTTGTGGCTTATCATATCGATGACATCGCGATTGCAATTGTGACAATTATTATAGAATAATCGTGCAGCCCTAATTTGGAGTTTCACTGACAGATGTGTCTCCACATTACATTGAGCCGCTTGCATCCCCTGTGCTGACACAACAGTAGATACACACTGGCAGCAGTTATAAAGAAGCAGTGATTATGAGGATTGCACTGATGTGTTCAGCTCCTCCTACCCTTCCTTGGGGATTCATGCGATAAAGTAAGTGGTAAAGAGCACATCTGTGCTGGAATGTGTGTGTAGTATAAATTTCCTAAAGAAAAATGAGCTTGACTTCTTCATTTTGGTCATTATGACCATCACCTGCTGTGTTATCTGCCTCTGCCTGAATATAGCTTTCCCTTTGCCAGCAGGAGGTTATCAGCTAATCTATGCATTAACACACACACACACACCTCAAAGAGGAAAGAGCCAACAAGGGAGGCTGCAATTTGCAAGTGAACAAGCAGACATTAGTCTGTCCTAAATAATATTCAGGAGTCCATTTGGACACTGTGCTGGGTTTTTGTTGTTGTAATCATTCCTCCTCCATTCCTATACCATTAAAAGTTAAAATTTCAATGTAACTGATCTCATGACATCTACTGTCCTAGTTCTGTGCACATCTCCTTTCTAATGTTCAGCTGAAGTCAGTCAAATCAAGTAGAGATATCCTCTAAAAGAGAACTAAAAACATGCTAGCAAGATAGCTCACTAATGTGAAAAGGGACTTAAGGGACTGTGATGGCCTTCGAGACATGTGTCACAAGGTTGACAGACAATATTAGTGCTAGCAAGCACATTTGCTAGCATGTTTCTACAATGATGGCTGTACTGCATGTCTGTGTGTGTTAGTTCACATTAAAAAAAAAAAACCCTGGCCTGCCCGCGCACACACACCTGCCATACCTATGATGGGCTTCTGCAAGACCAGGCCGATCACTTGCAAACAGATTCCCTCCAGCTGCTGAGTGATCTGAGAGATAGAATGAAAATATATAGTATCAAATATCACATTACAATACTGTGACAGCATGTATATATGTGTGTGTGTGTGTGTGTGTGACCTCTTTGTGGTCCTCCATGACCGTGAGGATGGTGTCGATGGTACTGAGGATGCCCAGGGCCATGACAGTCTTGTCCTCATTCTCCTCATACTCCTCACTCTGCAGGACCCTGGTGAAGATCTCCGCCTGCCACACCCCCGACAACACACACACACACACACACACACACACACACACACACACAGGATAACAGTACATTATATCTTCTGACTGAGACATCAAGACACTGAGGTAGAATATCACAGAGCTCCTGCAAATGAAGACTATTTAGGGCTTTGTCATACATGACAATATTTATTTTTAGAATACAAGAAATGTGCATGTTGCGTTCCTACCAGGTTCTGCGTCATGTCCACAGCAATGGTGGCCACCTCCTGGTTGTACTCGCAGATCATTTTCTGAATGACGTTGGTCAGGTCATCGTTCTCGGTCTCTTTCACCACATGCAGCAGCTCCTGCATGACCGGCCGGATGTACGGCCTGATGTACAGCTTGGCTACACATATTTTTTTTTTTTTATTATTTTTTTTTTTATACACAGAGCATGTGTGTGTAAAATCCTCTGTCTTTTCACAGTATTTCATGTTCATATTTTGAAGGTTTTTCATTAGCATTAGCCCTCATATTCTTTTTATGTCTCATATACTCTTTTGGAATCATTTAACCAGTTTTCTACTCAGAATCGTACAGCAACTTCAAATCATTGTTAACATCCACATTCCTCCACAAACCTTGTTCCTGGTTGCTGACCAGCGTCTGCAGAGCGATCGCAGCTTCCACCTTGACAGGCATCTCTTTGTCTTCGATCAGATCCTGTTTGACCAACTCGACAGCGTTCCTCAGCACCAGCTCATCGTGGAAACGCAGTGGGCTGAAGCAGTGGAGCACCCAGCACGACTGCCAAAACACAGCAGAGAAGCACAAATTAATGCAAAACCAAGACATTTTTCATCTAAGTGCCTCCACAGTGTTTTTTACACCCCTGAAACCACTATAGCAAGTGTCCCCTGCTGCTGTCAGTGACACCCCACCAGGTGTCAGTGTGGATTACAGTTGTTTTGTAGTTCAGACTGAATGGACCAACCAACCAACAGGAATATAGGGAGGAGAGCCAGAGGAAAAAAAAGAAATAAAAAAGAAATAATTAAAGAAATAACAGACAAAGCAACAAAACGACACATGCAAATTAAACAAAATGCTCCATGTTGACAATTTTTTCACGCACAGTAGATGCAGGTTAACCAAGTGGTGCACCAAGGGCTCATGGTGGTGCTCAAGAGCACCCTCACTGGAGCTCAACGAAATGAGCCACTCTGATGCGGAGGCGGATATTAGGACCATGTGTCTGTTGGTTGTAGGTCTGTGGCAATTAGAATGGGATTTCTATGACCCTCCCTCCACCATAAATAACCAAATAGGTAGCTACTATTGGAGAAAGTAAAAAGCAAAGGCTGACCTTTTCCAACGATTACGTTTAACAGTAACTATTAAACCTCGGCCCTCTGAACCCCCTTCTCTGATCGGGAAAAAAGCTGTAAATGCGTCGGAATGTGATAAAATCTACCTGAGCACATCTAGAAGTAGTCTGGCACGCATTGTGTTCGGATCTAAGGTAGCTGTAAACACAATCCACAGCCTACAACATGCTGGCATCCACACACAGCATAACATTATAGCCTACAGATGGTTTTAGCTAACATAAAATCCAGCAAGACAGAGGGCTGAAAGAGCACACCTCTAATGACTGATAATGAGTTTATTCTGTGCCATGACAGCACCGAAAGATGCGTTATTCAACAGAACTGCTTGAAAAATGATACTGCAAGAAGTGTGTGCGACATGTGCGTTGCGCTCATCTGTGCAGCTGATCTGCTGTTAACAAGGCATATCATTTAACTAGTGACAGACGGTTTCCTACAACACACCGGGACAAACTCACACCATATTTTTATACAAGGAAAGGAATAACTTCATGTGTTACATTCACCAAATTTACAAGAGGGGACAAATAATTAAGAAATTGCCGTAGACAGCGTTTCCAGTTTATAACATTTCCCCTAACTCAATTACTCACAAGACAATGTGATTTTTTTAAAGGGAGTCTGGGGCAGATTTGTTGCCACCTCAAATAACTCACGCGGACATTTTGCTCTGGAGGACAGAGATCCGATCTCAATGAGGAGAACAAGAATGCATCAAAAATACCAGGTGTAAACACAAAGGCAAGATCAGATTGTTCATTATCTGGATGACTTTCCAGATACAGATCAGGTTTTAACTGCAGGTGTAAATGGGGAATTTTTAAATTAATGTCCATTTTGTCAATTTTACTAACAATTCAGAGGTCAGACTTTTAACTGTGGTTCTGTAAAATTAAAGTGATGTTAAGTATTTATACCCACTGCACAGTAGTGAAACTGCGAAGAGTCACTCACCCTGGCTCGCAGGTAACCCATAGGGGAGTTGAGCAGAGGGAAGACATAGTTTTGCAACATCAGCTCCATCTGCTCCCTGTACATCCGCTTCTGTAAGATGATACATGCATACACACAGCACAGCCCAGAGAGAATTAAAACACCAGAGCAGCATTACACTTTAAAGGCTCTTTCCGATGTGTTTTACAGGAAAAGAAAAGTCCCTGTGGATGTACCTTCAGTAAGAGTTCAGCCAGAGCTCCGATGCAATGTAGTGCTCCGTCCTTCCTGCGGGGGTCAGCAGAGGGGTCCATCAGTATCTGGTGGCAGAACTCCATCATCTGCGGAAGAACCTGCCAAGAGGACAGCACAGAGTTTATGTGTAGAAAAGGTTTATGCAGAAATTAAAGCTGTTGTACTGTTTGGCTGAATGCCTTCAAAAGATAAAGACCTGAACTGCAGGGACAGCAAAAGCACTCAGAAACATAAAGTTTCATTGCCGCAATGGAGTCCCACATTATAAAACGCAGCTCCGTTACTTGTGGCTGGAGTCCAGATGCTGGGGGGGGAGCGCCCTCTCTGTGACAGAGTACAACATGAGTAGGGCTTCACCAGGAACGCTGCAGGCCCAGATGGTATCTGGGCGAATACGGTCCCGTGCTAATCAGCTAGCTCCAGTGTTCACCACAATATTCAACCTCTCCCTGGCCATGTCCGTGCTATTGTCTCTGCACTACTGACCTCACCTCAGTGATCATGATATGCTCGGTCAAGGAGTATATCTGCTCCTTCCTCCTTCGTACCATGGACCCGCTGCAGTTTGCATGCCGGCCAAACAGATCCACAGATGATGTTGCCTCCCAGGTTCTGCACACCACTCTCTCTCATCTTCACAGCCAGAAGGGGGGGGCATGTGAGACTGCTGTTCGTCGATTACAGTTCAGCTTTTAAAACTGATTGAACTGGTACTGAACACCCCCTTGTGCCGGATCTTGGACTTCCAGACTGCCAGGCCCAATGTGGTCAAGGTGGGTAGCCATACCTCAAACTCCCTCACCCTGAGCACTGGCTCCCCCCCGTCAGGGGGACTCCCCAGTCCCCTGCTGTACTCCCTGTACACATGACTGTGTGGCTGACACAGTGGAGGTGGGCCAGATCTCCGACAGTGATGAGAAGGCCTACTTGGAGGAAGAGGCTGACCGGTCACACCTGCTCATGAATGTCTCTTTGAGGATCCTTCAGTCCATCTACTCTGGAGCTGTACAGAGCATCCTGACAGAAAACACCACTGCCTGGTTTGGTAACAGCTCCAGTTCCTGCAGGACACATCACTAGGTGCAGAACCAGAGCCTATAGCATCATGAAGGATCCTCACCACCTGCTGTTAGCCTCCTGTGATAAGCTTGGCAGAGAGCATTCAGTGGGTTCAGTGTTTCCCATTAATTAACAAGGCTATGGTGGCCCACCACAGTCTGTTTTGTTCCGCCATAGTTTCAAAATGAACCGAAAATATGTTAACATTAAAGACTTAGAATGTTGTGTGTGGCACCGCTGCTCCCCGCTGCGGTAAACTCGCACGCTCACATACTTTGACATCCGACTCGAGAACAACTTTTCATTTGAGGTAATTACGGTAACATTAACTAAGTATTTTAACAGCGTGTTTCCACTGTCTTTCATTTGTTAGAACGAGATCATGCTAGAAGCTAAATTTGGAGTGCACACTTATTAGAGCTTTTATGGTACAGCTGCACACTACTGCTGGAAACAGATGTGAGCCAGCTCTTCCAGAGGCAGAAGATCAGGAAGGCTCCTGGCCCAGAAGGTGTGTCTCCATCCTGCCTGAAAATCTGTTCAGACCAGCTGGCCCCCATCTTCACTCAGATCTTCAACAGATCACTGGAGCTGTCTGAAGTTCCCTCCTGCTTCAAACGCTCCACAATCATCCCGGTCCCAAAAAAAACCTCCATCTCTGGATTAAATGACTACAGGCCTGTTGCCCTGACATCTGTAGTCATGAAGTCCTTTGAAAGACTGGTGTTGGCCCACCTGAAGGACATTACAGGCCCCCTGCTGGACCCCAGCAGGTCAGTGGATGATGCTGTCAACCTGGGTCTGCGTCACATCCTGCAACACCTCGACTCTCCAGGGACATATGCAAGGATCCTGTTCGTGGACTTCAGATCAGCGTTCAACACCATCATCCCAGCATCAACAGCTGACTCTGACTCACAGTGTCAGGAACAATTCTTGTGCAATAACCCAGTAACTCTGTCTCTGTCTCTGTGTTCTCTCGACTGTAGTCGGTGTCCGACTTTATTATTGTATTATTGTATGAGTAAGCACATCGTGAACAATGTACAATACAGAGTCAAATTCCTCATATGTGCACAAATACCTGGCAAATAAAGCTGATTCTGATTTTGAGTGTCGTTTGCAGACAGAGAAGCCAAAAGAAAAACTGTATGGAGCTGAGGTGTGCGAAATTTCACCTTTCACATTATACAGAGTCATTTGATCCATTGTTAATATAAAAAATACTGATTAGTGCAGCTTGAATTTAAAATATAGAGGAATAAGCATGGAAAGTGAAGAAGATTGGCGTCAAAAGCCAAAAAACCCACCAGTAACCTCAGTCATCAGACCAATGTGGTGGAGTAAAATTATAAAGCCCATATAAGGTGCTGTAGTTGAATAAATGTACTCAGCTCCTCTGCATCATTTCTAAAATGTTCCGGCTCACCTCTTTCCTCTTGCGGGCAGCTTTACACAGGAGGCTCTGGGCAGCGGTGGCTGGTAGGGCGTGGTCATCATAGAGGTCTGCAATAGAGACAAAACCCACACTGACTTATACAAAAATGGAATCAAACAACATGTTCAGAAACATGGCGGACATCCTTCATCCACCAGCCAATACAACGGCAATTGTGCAGCTGAAAGGTCACTACAAGGTTTACGTCAACAAAAGCCCATTCACTTTCTGTGAGTTTTCCTGTACTCTAATCCTTTATTGCACATAACAGAACATATCTGCTACCAAATGCCAGATGAATCAGACAGTCATCATCAAAAGTAGTACGCCAGATCTGGCTGTCAGCTTGCTGAGTGATTTCCAGTGTCAAATGTGAAGTTTGAGTAATCAAGTATAATATCACACTGGAGTGTTTTTTTTTTTTGTTTTTTTTAACCTTTATCTATTCAGGAGAGCTTCACTGAGAGGAAGCCTCTCTTTTTCCAGGAAGGCCCTGATCTCATTCACACTCTTACACATTCACACCTGGAAGCTGCCCAGTACAACCACAGCCTAGTCTGCTGACCACTAAGCAGCTCAGGTTATGGGCCTTGCTCAAGGGCACCTCAATGGTTGTAAATGAGGGAGGGCAAGCACTGCTTGGTTTACTTTCCACAACCAGATTTTAACCTGCCGGTCCAGGGATTGAACCGGCGGCATCCCGGTCACAAGCTCGCTTCTCTAAACTTTGGGCCACCTCTGCCAAAGTTTGAGTACTCACTGAACTTCATGCGTATGTACTCATAGGGGTCTTCCTGCCAGAGCTTCTCATCCTCTTCTTTGTAACACATGAGAGGGAAGATGACCTCCTGGCATATGACCTGTAGGAGATGAAGGTGCTCAAAAGCTCAGGAGGGATATGACAGTGGCTTAAAATAACAATTAATACAAGGAGAGCAGTGTAACACACAACAATAGAACAGCTGATGGATTTTGTTTTCTTAGTAAAGGCAGTGTCCTCTCTGTCCTGATCTCACTGAAAGCAAACTCAACAGGGCACTGTTAATAAGCCCAAACATCATCAAAACCCACATTTTAACCATGTAATATGAACTCATATATTTTTGCTAAACAAGGAACTAAAAGTCCCCTTTGCACAATCCTGTTTGCGTTTCCACCACATAAGAAGAACTGAGAAGATTAGTCAAATTAGACCACTAACAGATTAATTAATGACAATTCTCACACACACAGGCCGATGCTCTTCTTAGAACTTAACAGTAGCCGAAGTATGTAAACAGTGTGAAGTGCCATAACAGCATAAACCTTTTTCTGTTTTTTCAATTCAATATAAATGTTGATGTTACAGCTCTTCCAAACTGTTCACATACTGTTAATACTCCTACTGTTGAGTACTTCTGATGTTGTAAACTATGATAGTTGAGATACACTTGAGACAGTTGCACTACTCTCTTTATAATGCTCCAGTCACACCATGCTCACTCCACCTTACAGAAAGAGATCAGCTCTGTCTCGTCTAGCGTCATTTACGGTGTTGTATGGTGTCTTGTCATGTAAGTGGAATTAATGTGACTTTGTTTTCAGCACCTCGGACTGTGAGAGATGGCATTTTGTTCATTTTTATACTTGGTATGTGGATGAAGGACAGTAAACCAGCTTGAAACTATTTAGTGTGGCGTGACTCTGTGACTGTGGTTCTTTCAGTGAAAATGCAGGTTAAGTTCTTGGTCCCGTGGGAAAGTTCTTGCAGTGGAAACACGCCAACAGTGGATAAACCCTCACCTGATGAGAGGGAACTGACACAACCTGAACCAGAAGGAATTCGAACCTGTCCTACCTGCATGTGTGGCTTCATCTGTTTCCAGGTCAGTGAGTGAGACAGGCCCTGGTTGAGGTAGTTGAGGCACTGCTGCAGGACGCGAGGAGTAATGTACTGCTTCTGTCGGTGCTGGTCCACCACCTTCAGCAGGACCTGGACAGAAAACAGCCCACAGAGGGACAGCAGTGAAACCAAAACAGCAACAGTAACCAAGAAAGTCAAGACCAGGGTCGGCAACCTGTGACACAAGTACCAGCATGGGCACGCAAATCCATTTTCAGTGGCACACGAGAAAACATTTACTATACTACAACACTGACACTTGTCAGTACTTTGTAATAATGTGAATTAAGTTAAATAAATTAGTTTATTAATAAAACAGATTTAACCAGCTTGATGTGTTAATGTTGCTATGACGATATGTAGAATTTGCTTGAAAATGCATGCTGGGTTATACACGTCCAGCAAACTGCTGCACTAACAAATGCATGGATGTGTTATGTAGCTGTGGACGAAGTGTGGACATCAATGACGTCTCACATCTCACAACTGTTGACAGCTGTCAACAGTCCTTTCAGAGCTAAACGTATCACCACACAGAGCAAACCCCCACACCAGAGATAGAAAAGCCAGTATCTTCAGGTCTCAGTGAAATTTCTTTACCTGCTGTATGCCCACAGCATATGTCTTCAGGAAAAAGTCTGCAAACTCGTAGTACTCCTTTGTCACATTGCCAGGGCTTCCATACCTGTAATTCAGACCAGAAGCATGTGAATGGTAAATCGTTTGTACTTCAATAGCACCTTTCTAGTCTTCTGACCACTCAAAGCACTACCTCACATTCACACACATTCTTACACTGATGGCAGAGGCTAAGGTGCCAGCACTGCTCCATCAGTTATCATTTTGTTAAGATTCAAAGGTCCAGACATCATCTTAAGTAACTCTTTGGTTCTTTTCTTCTCCCAGCTAAAGTGGTTTTCACTTTACCAGAGCGGTCTCTGAAGCATGACATCCACTTATGAATGTATTTAAAAGCCTATATTTGATGATGATGATGATGCATTTAAAAAAGAGTCAAGTATCAAAAGTTGGCATTGAATCATCTGCTGCTCATCAGAACTTTCAACTTGGGGTTCAGTATCCTAACTGGAGGAGAACCGGAGGACCGAACCGCCAATTTTCTGATTAGAGGCAACCCACTCTACCTCCGAGGCCACAGAACTTAGTAATGTCCCTATGCCAATTACAAATCTACTTTCTGATGATGCGAGAGCAGCTCTGGACTCACCGCTCAAACAGTCTGGTGATGATGCGCAGAGCCCACTTCTTACACTTCCACCAGGCCAGCTCAGGACGGTCGTCCTCATCAACCTCCAACGTCTCCTAACACACACACAAACACACTTTGTGTTCAGTTTTTGGGGCTTGTAAATCCAGCAGAAGAACAGAACATCCAGCCAGACTTCACTTAGACAATCACTGATTCCAAAATACACACATAATGTGATTACGCAGAGTCGCACAAACAAACAGAACACCCTGCCACATGTCTATATCATATCACGTTGTATGTGACAGTATGGACAGCGTCTCTCCAAGCAATGGATCTTTTTCTTATTTTAATACCATATGGAAGTTTCTTGTTATAACAACATACCAACTGTTTTACCAGTTCAGACAGGATTTTAGACCATTTAAGAGCAATCACACCTAAAAAAAAAAAATGTGTGTGTGTAAGATGATTTCTTAGTAAATGATGAAGTGATAAAGAATAAAACAGGCTGGACATGGAAGCCTTTAGAGCAGTGGTTCTCAAACTTCAAGAGTTTGTCCCAGGTTCCCCCACCTGATAGGATTTTTGCTTTTTGAGGTTTTCTTATAGAAGGTGAATAAAACACATGACCAGTATAGTCATATGTTCTGTCACTGTGTTACTTTAATTCTAGTGAAAATAAATGTTACTCCCTGCTGACCCTAACAAATCTATCTCTTTCCTCATAATCCATGTATGTTATTTTCAGTTCTCCATCCATGGGCCGGATGAAACATTCAGTAAGAGCACCTCCACTACCCAAAATGATATTTCTTTCTACTGGTTTGTTTTAACAGTTCCTCATGAAAACTTCATTTATTGAAATAGCTTCTGTAAAGAACATTTATTAACACACTGTGGCAGATGATATATTTGTTCACTGTAATTCATTGACAGGTACAAAGGAATTGTGCATTTTAATTGTGTGTGTGTATGTGTCTTACAGCTGGGACGTCTCTGTCCATTATGGCTCGGAGGATTTCCATCCACTGAGTCATCACTGTGTTGTTGATCAGCTGGAGAGGCAGCGAGTACTGCAGGACAGCAATGAGGTTAATGCTATAATCATCATCATCATTATCATCATTACCACAGTGACACTAACACACACAAGACTTTTACAGAAATGGTTTGTCATGAGTGTGCTACAGAGAGCTGTGCCTGGCGAAGAGCAGTAGAGTGGTACGTGTGGTGAGTCAATTCAAATCAGCTTTATTGGCATGAAGGTATAACAGTATTGCTAAAGCTACATATAAATGCTTGTGCGTGTTAATAAAATAAATAAATAATAAAAAATATAAAACCACAGAGTCAGTTGACAACATCAAGGAGAAAAGCATTCCCCGTTCTCTCACAGGCTACACTACTGGTGGACTGTTTTGCCGTTGAAGTCTTAATTAATGGCCATCATGAGCAAGAGGGATGCTCACCTTTACGTCTGAGAGTGAATTCCACAATACATTTTCTTGTGAGTTTCATGCTTTCTTAAGAGTAATCTGCTGGTTGTCCTTAATACCGCAAGTGTTACTAGGGTTTTGACTGTTAATGTTTATTTTTTGACAGTTTTGCCAATTTAAGAATCTCTTCAGCGTCTTCAAACTGGCTCATTCACAGTGTTTCCTGGTAACTAAAGTCATTTTATGTTCTCTGTGTATAAGAGATGATAATTAAGTGATACATTAGCTATCTTAAAACCTACCTTTTGTCTCCCCCTTCTGACAGTGAGAGTAATTAGACAATTCTGACGTATAGACTCTGAGCTGCCACCTTTATCACTGCTGGTTGGCATAAAAAACATCACTACTGGTTCACCAGTCTGGGAACATCGCCACACACACCAGATTTAAAAACTTCAGGATACTGTGATTACAGAGAGATTTACCTGGCGGTGTTGTGGAGATTTAGTTCGGTTGACATTCAATATGCTGTTTAAAGCAACCATTTTAATTTGACTTGAGTCTGAGATGTTTCCAAACACACTGCCCTGCAGTCACTGTTCCTGGCTTTTATCATGTGTTCACACACAGACACAAACACACACCTGTACAAGGGCGTGGAAGATCTTGAGGATCTGTTTCTGGATGAGGACAGAGAAGATGGTAGCGTCAGCCAGGAGCTGGCTGATTAGCTGCTGAATCCGCGGCAGGAAGATCTGCATGGCAGCCAGTAAAGGCTCCCTCTCATCTGCCTTCCTGTACCTGAAGTGCACACACACACACACACACACACACACACACACACACACTATAACTAGCACCAAGATAGTACTATACTACTCAATCTACTATTAATACACAGTAGAACTATTTCTTGACTAACATTAGCATCTCAGCCGTCCTCCAAGTAGTTATTTGCAGTCCAACACCAGCTGACACATAAAGTTAGTGAGCTCAGGTCTCTGTAGAGACAAGCTGTGACAAGACTCTGGAGAGCTGTAATTTTTTAGCTCCCCCCTCCTTCCAGTCTTTATGCTAAGCTAGGCTAAACATGTCCTGATTCCATCTCTAGACAGACGTGAAATTGATATCTTCCAGGTAGAAAAAAAATAAGCATGTTTCCCAAAATGTTGAACTATTCCTTTAGTGCTTAAGTTATTTTGGCATTACAAGTTCTGATGTAATCTTTTAGGAACTACTTTAGACCTGGGTCCTGTTTCCCATAAGCTTCCAAGCCATGATAAGAAGACCTTAGACCATACTTACAATGGGACTAAGATAATGTGCAGTCGTGGTGTAAGGGCTAATAGCTCCTCAGGGACGTTCAGAGTGGTGAGGTGGAACCGAGGAACATGAACAAGTTACTCACTCGTATGTTTTGACCAGCTGGTAGAGAGCCAGCAGGCTGCCGTACCAGCTGCCGCTGTTTTGAGACTGCAGGTACATGCCGAGCTTGTCCACTATGGCGGTCCAGCGGCCGGGGAAGTCGTGCTTGATGATGGCTCGCAGACACATGGTCAGCTGAGCGCTACAGAGTGCAAAATCAGTCAGTTACCAAGGCTATTCATTCACTGTGTCCCTACAGAAAATATTCAGGAGAAGTTAAAAAACTTTACTTAGAGGCAAAGTGTTTAGTTTAGATTTTGAAATACAGAGACAGTCTGCAAGTTCTAATGATGCTTGTCTAAAGAGAGAAACAGGCTGATGCATTACAGAAAGTGAATAACTTTGTCTAAACAGGGACAGTAAAAACTGAGTTGCAACAATTACAGATGTTCTTAATGACAGGGTATTGTGTGTTCGTTTTCACTCTATGTACCGTATGGACTCTGGACAACGGATGATGCCCTCCACTATGTGGTCTCTGATCTGCTGCCGGTCATTCTCATGGATGTTGAATGGAAAGACAACCTCACCCAGAGACGGCTCCCTGTCCTGCCAGTACTGACTCACCATGTTCTTCAAGTAGATGGCCGCTACACACACACACACACACACACACACAGTCAGGGAGTCAGAGAAGCATACCCCCAGACATATACTTTAATGAGGTTACAGCATATGATGTCGTTGATGTTTGAAAATTTGAACATGAAACATACCTCGTCTACTTTAAACAGACCTATTTGACACCATTAAGCAGGAAAGTAAAGAAAGTGTCCAACCTCTGTAAAAAGGCTTAATTCAGCATTTCATGATACTACACTATACAGACTAGAAAATAAACTAAATCTTTAAATCCATGTCTGCGTTACTTGATCCAGTTCTGCATTCCGAAGCAGAGTGTGAGCTAGTCCCTTGGTTTGTTGACATTCATAAGTAAACACAAGGAACAAAATAATAGTACACATGATGTACGAGTGTCAAAAAAACATCAGATTGAGCTTGTTAAACAACTAATAATAAAATTAATATGAAACACTCTGTAACTGGATATAGGACTTCCTCATAAACAGACCCAGTTCAGATTGGTGGATACACCTCCTCCACTCTAGAGCTCAACACCGGAGCCCCCCATGGCTGTGTGCTCAGCCCCCTCCTGTTCACGCTGTACACCCCCGACTGCATCCCCCGATATGAAGACAACTCTGTTGTGAAGTTTGTTTCTTAAGAAGGCCATATTTTTTTTTATATAAACAGAGGAGCTATAGAAAGCATCCTGACTGAAAACATCACTAACTGGCATGGGATGTGCACGGCTCAGGACCAGAGGGCTCTGCAGCAGAAGATCATTGGTACCCATCTCCCGAGCATCAGTGATATCGGTGAGGTGAGGTGACTTCAGAGCCCAAAGGATACTAAAGGACAGTACCCACCCAGCCACAGCCTGTTCACCCTGCTGCCTTCTGGGAAGAGGTGTAGAAGTTATCAGACTTTGAAGCTCAAATTCATCCTCAGCACTGCTCCACTGAAAATAGTTTATTTCTGTCAACTATTGTATAATTGATTTTATATTAATGTATGTTTTCTGCTTTGTAGCAGAAGGGAGTTACAAATTTCACTTTACAACCTGTTGTATTGTGACAAATAAACCTACCTTCTATGGTACAGTTACCTCGGTTAAAATTGTGGCAGTATTATTTTACAACTACTGAATCGAGATGGAAACTGTACAGTATTAAAACATAATGACCTAAAAGAGAGAGCAGTGAGACACAGTATTGTTTGATGGACTGTTGAGAGTCTCACCTGCCTGGCGAACAGGAAACTCCACCTGCTCCGACACAATGATCTGAAGCAGGGTAGGGGCGAAGTTGATGATCTTGTAGGACTGAAACACACAGAGCAGACTCAGTGGGATATTTTCCATTTTTTCCCATCCATGCATGATGTATGACAAAATGAACATTTATATTTCATATTTGAACGTTCAAAATCATCTCAAGATATTTTTAGATGGAAGACCTAAAAGTGTAAATAACAGACAATATGCATCTAAAGGCTCAGACACTTGGATAATGTTATCATGAACACAGAGATATGATTTACCAGGTTTCTCATGGTACATGCCAAATATGAAACCAGGGTAGGATTCAAAACTGGGATTCTTGAGCACATGCAAACATATGCACCATGTGAATGTTGATAATTTACAGCGGGGTTGAATAACTGCCACAGATCAAATGGTCTCAAGCTTACATATATCTACTGATCTTACAGATGTGGACAGAGGTGATGCTCTCTGGATTTGGGAATCTAAAGTGCACTTTACATTTTAGAATGTAAAAGGTACACTTGGTGTTTGTTAAAGAAATATGCCTGTTTTTTTCTTTTTTTGGTGCCATTACATTTGAACATTTTCAAGCCAAGACTAATAAAGAAACAGTACATACATGAATAAATAACAACTAATCCAAATATGTTCCACCCTGCTGATTATGGACTGGAGAAGGCTCATAGTAAACTGCTTTTAGCCAATCATGTAGAAAGATTTGGATCAGTATCAAAATCATAACAGTACAACTGAATGATGCAGACATGGAAGAAATATCCAGATTGATGAGTATGGATTTAAAAACCAAACTGCTATGTGAGGTTAGCTTGCTGTGAGTAGATAGACACCTTAGAGATAAATGTATTCAGATTATTTTCTACCTCTTCACTGACATGTCCACTCTGCCAGAACCAACGTATGGTTCAGTAAAGCAGACACATTTGTATCAATCACTAATGTTTTTTATTTCTCGGTTCCATAATCCGCCTGTAGCAGAGCTCTGTGAAGTGTTTCAGAGCTGGCATAAGTTAGTGTGGGGCCGGTGCCGCAGCTCCGGACGGCCCGTGACGGCTGTCAGGTCGGACTCCTATTGTTCTTCGCGCAGCCGCCGGAGTCCGTGCACGGAACCGTTAAGTCAAACTGCTGATCAGGGGCCTGATATAAACTCCCAAACCAGGGCTCGAGAACCACCAGGCCGAAGCCGAGCCAGATCACCAAAACACGACATGCCCTCCTCTACATACACCGGCATCATTTCGGGGCCAAACGGTCCTTGATTTACACACACACACACACACACACACACACACACACACACACACACACACACACACACACACACAGACCCCCGACAAAAACAAACAAAACCCAACAAACTACTTTAGCTCACCCACCTGATTGAGCTCAGTCTCCGCCGCTATCCTCAGATTAGGGTCAATAGTCCCTTTCAGAGCCTGGATTATCCGGTTTGGATCCATAACGTAATGTGTTTAATTCCGCGGGTCCTTCTCTGTTATTAGTGTCACATACGGTACAGCGTTAGCTTCCGTTTCTGGCTTATATTCAGTCAAGCGTTCTGGGTCTGCATTCAGCGGCCACAATAGGGACAATGTTCCGAGAGTTACACACGCAACTTCCGGCCCCTGCATTCAAAATAAAAAGCTCATCGGCGGGAGCCTCAGTAGGAATGCGTTCGGAGAAGCGGCGGCGCGTTCACTCTGAAGGCAGCGCGGCTTTCCTTCTGTCCCACTCTGACTAACGTTAGCTTGACGAAAAACAGTGGCCCTGCCCCGTTTTACCGGCAACCAACTGTCGGTGGACGTAAAGCAGAGCAAACATACAATTTACGGGTTTCCTCCTCTTCTTCGTCGACACAGTGGTCGGTGCTGTTGCTGCCACCCTGAGTGCTGGTGGAACACCTTCCCTGAAAATGGATTTCATTTAATGGGCGGAATTAAATTTGTACTAAAATGTGACTATAAAAAATCGATAAATTACCTGTAAAGTTATTTTCATAAACAAGCTCTGTTGGCCTGGAACTAAATTTACAAGCATCATTTTTCACCAAATAATTACTACATTATGCCAAAGGAATATAAAGTGGTTTTTGATGCCTTTGATGCCAAGGAGTGTGCTGCAACTTCTTAGAGGTTCAGCTATTGAGGTCTCAAGGATCAAACCAATACAATAGTAGTATATTCCTTGGAGAAACTGACATTACTAAAAATAAATGTTCAAATAAATATATCAGGAACTACATACAAGGTATATCTCTTCACTTTATGGAGAAATAAATTGGCAGAAAACTGTTGACAAATTCTGTCTTAACAACAAAGTAAAAGAGGTTTCCTTTAAGACATTACATTGTATGTATTGGTAAAAAAGACATTTGTATATTGAGTATTCTTGCACTTCCTGTCAATTACGTGAAGAAGCAATTTGTCATTTGTTTTATCAATGTATATATATACTGTAGATTTTTTTGGTTAGATGTTGAACTTTATATAAAAAGGAAAACTGGTCAAACATTTCAACTTCAGGAAAAAGACATTCTTATATGTTTTGAAAGAAATTATTATTGGGAAATTTCCACATCCGCAAGACAAAATGGACCGACTCCAAACCACACTTTGGACACTTTGTCCAAGAACTGCATCAGTATAGCAAGATTAAAAACATTAGGAACAAGAAGACAATCTAGACCAATGTTTGACAAATTTATTTTGGACAGTTGATATATTATTTTGAATCCACTTTACTCTTTTTATTTCTTATGTTATGACTTCTTTTATTTTTATTGATTTATTTTTCTCTTTTATACATGTACCCCTGATTGTTTTGTGTTTATAATTTCAATAAATATGAGAAAAAAACAACAACAGAACAAAAAAAACATTTTTAAGACTAGCAAGGAGTGTTCTCCCGGCGCGTGTACAGTACATGCAGGAGCAACTGACCCCATGGAGACCAGAGCTCCAAGTGGTCGGCAGGCTCTTTTCATTTGCCTACTGTACGAATATGTGCTGTTTGGCTTTTAGGATATCTGGATTGGAGAACAAAAACAGTATTATATCAAAAGTGTTTTTATCTCAGCAAAATTTCACATTCACAAAAGTTAGTTCTTACAGCAAACCTTTAAAGTTTTATGAATAAAATGCAACAATACATACAAACTATTCAACTTTTCAAACCCCAAAGCCTTAATTACTCTTGATATTTTTAAATTTCTTAACTGCATGAACTGCTTATTTTTATTTTACCACTTAACCACCTGGTACTTATATAACAGGCCTATGTATGTTGTTATCTGTCATTATACTTGGTTTGCAGTAAAGAATACAAAAAAAAAAAAGTGTTTAGCATTAAATGAAGATCTTATGAAATGAATACTCATATGGACACAGCAAAATGTATATGACCATGAAATTGTGAAATACTCAAACTCAGCTCACCTATATAAAATGTTCATCCTGATTCTTTTCACAAAAATAGATTTTGTTGCAGATTGTTTTTGCAGTAGTTTATTTTATTTTAAAATGCCACTTTTCATCAGAAAGGCCTTGTCTGCAATGAAATGACTGGCTCGGTTCCATTTGCCTTGATTCTTGAATTTGAACTGAACTTGAAGTGTCCACTATTTCACCAGCATCTCATGGTCTTCATCAGGGGGATGGAGTTGACTCAGTTGTCACCTCATGGCTTTAATGTGTGAAACCTGTCACATGGTGACAGATGGTAATTCACAGTAATACACTTAGAGGCCACCTTATTAGGTACACCCGTACAAACAATGTCATTCAGTACAACAGCTCTGCTATACAAGTCTACCTTTTCTAAACAAACCTGAAAGGTGTAAAGTATACGTTCATAGTTAAAGGTGGTGTTGTACAACATGACTTTACATTGAGGTGTTAATGTTTGTCCTTATTTACATAGATAAGTGCAGAATGTTAGAAACACTTCTGCATGTAATGCAGTCAATTACACCATGATCATCAACTTTGACCTTAATTTGGTAATTGATTTAATACCTCTATGAAAGGGTAAAAAAAAAAACAAACTCCATCATAAAAGTAGATTTTGATTTACTGAATTGGTCCAGCTAAGTCAGTCCAATGGGATGCCTCTGGTGGTCCAGACGATGTAGGAGGATTTGAATTAAACTTCTAGAAACTGTTGACTTGTGCAAACCAATCGAATCCTTCTGGCATTGGAGATCCTGACTCATTTGCACTACCACCAAGTCAAAGTTTGTAATACCAGCAGCATGTTGCCATTTTTAGCTCCAAATGAAATGGCTCCACAAGTATTAGACTGTAACAATGAAATTGTCCATTTACAGGTGTTCTGAATGTGAGAAGTTGTTTAAAACCTTTAGTGACTCCAGGAGCTGCGTGAAGTCTGATAAGTGTCCAAGTGATGTCAATTGAGTCAGCATCAGTTGGTGAAGACTACAAATTTGAAAATTAAAGAAGTCAATTTGTGTAGAGAAAGTAGTGAGCTTACCAAAGCTAATGTAGCCTGCTGCTTATCGCCACTACAGGCTACATTAGCTGCTACTAGCATGACAATTAAATTTATATCAATTCATAACAGATGTTACAAATGTGTGCATGTTCCAGTCTCTGTAATAGGATGTGATGTATCAAATGCAGCACAGGGGACTAACAGCAAGTACAGAGACAAATCCTTTGATGAAGGTCATTTGCAATTACCACCAATACTGTCTGTGCTATGATGCACTCTAAAATTCCCAGGTGTCGTTAGCATGACAATTTTATGGGAGAGTGATGCTAAGCAAGTGGAGTACTCTTAATATGGTATGTTAGCACACAGACATACCATTTAGCTCAAAGCACTGCTGTGCCCAAGTACAGCCTGCAGAGCCACTAGCATCACTGTAGATAGTCAGAATCCATCTGATATTGTAGAGGCATAACAAAAATCAAGATGAAGCACCCAAACTTCACTGCTCGTGTTTTATTTAGGCACATCAAGGGACCACTTCCATCTCTCCAAAGTAGTCCATTAGTGCAACAATTTGGTCTTAAGTGTTCAACACCATACCCACCACCAACACAATCTTTCCTTCATCTTCACAGTCATACACCGCAAGGTGAGACTGAATGCATAGTAGTCCGGGATCAAGCAGAGTGCTGACAGTCAATTTTGATTCATCCGATAAATCAGCCAGTCATTCACGAGCTGTTTGACATCTGGTCAGTCATCCAAAGCCATTCAGAAAACAAGGCACAAATTCATAACACTGCTTTAAAGAGTTCACTGAAATCAGTGACCTGCAGGCTGAACAGGTGATTCACTACAGGATGACGTATCAAGGCCCAGTTGCATTAGTATGTCACAGGGAGCACCACCATCATGAACTACATATTCATGGGGAATTAAGCACATTTGGTGTATGTCAGTCAGTCACAATCCTCATTTCTAACGTAGATTGTGGCTGAGTACAGATCATACTATTTGGCCACCAATACACCTTACATTATGAGTGGACTTTGTGGTGGGGGGAAAAAAAACAAAAAAAGCACTGGCATGCAGCCTAACAATAGTGAAATGTCAGTTTAATCACCATTTACTACAAAGCAAACAGTCCACACAGAAGGTGGTTCAGTCCTGGTACAGCAGGAAGCCCGAGAAGGTGCTGTACTTCCAGGTGCTGCCATAGATGGCACCACGATGTAGCCGGAGCCACACCTGATCTCCTTGGAAGAGAGGTAGGATGGCGTGGTTGCTGGCCGTCTCATGATCTGGGGCTCCGTCGTTGGCGTATGCTGACACCATCACCTCCTCGTTGCGCATGAGATTAATGTAGAGTGGCACGTTGATAGCAAGCTTCAGAATGTGGAAGATGAATACGTAGGTTCCATTGACGGGGCAGGTGAAGCGGCCGATGTGGGTGTCGTACATCTCCCCCAGGTTGCTGTGCAGCTGGTCAAACACTATGGGCTGGTCCAGGTTGCCCGGGGCGAAGTTGGCGGTGCGAGAGGCAGTGAAAGCAATCCGTAACGGCTGGGAGAGTGGGTAGAGTTGCATAGGAAGCAGGGTGGTGTGATGGTGGCCGTGTGGAGTGAGAGGGACCTCCACGGTGGAGACCGACAGAGAATCACCATGACCCGAGTCCACAAGTGTAAACGCTCCCTCCCGATCTGGGCTGCTCACCTGAGAAGAGTCGCTCCAGGCTGTTGCAGAGTTGAGATGAAAACAGGTTACAAAATAACAGGGTGCAATAAGCAGTAGCAAAGTACATTACCCTCTTGATGTTGGACTAACATTGTGATCAGTGTGACAGTCGAGAAACTGACCAGTAAGCCTCATTTGAAGCTCACTAACAAATGAGTGTAGTGTGTCGGACGCCTGCAGCTGTTTTTCATGTTGCTTTCTGTGGAAATGTAGTTCTAACGTTACTACAGCGCAGTGGCTAGCTGTGGACAGCCATTCTGCTCCGCACCGCTGTGTGCGCGCGTTGCTGCGGTATGTAAATTGACTTGATAGACATGCCTTGAAGGTCAAACTACAAGAAGGAGTTTGGCATGTTGACTAGCACCCAGCAGCTAGCTTGCCCCGACCAAAAAGCTGCTGTTAGCGGCTCGCTGTGCAGTGAGGTGACAGACACTTTTACTCTGCTATATGGCACCAAATTACTTCATCCAAACAGAATTGAAGAAATAATGAAAGTACTACATTGCGTCTCCATAGAGTTTATGGACAGCAGTGTTGGGAGTAACTAGTTACATTTGTTAATACATAGTTGTAATCTGAGTTACTGAGAAAAATAAGAGAGATTAGTTACTAATCAAAATGATGCCAATCACAAAACTGATTACATGTTTCCCATGGGGCTTTCATGTTGTATATGCCTGAATCGTGCAACCCAGTACATTGGTGAGATGTATGACATTTTCAGTTCAGGAACACTGGCTGATGACAACCTACATCAGGGAGATATCTGTTCCTTACCCAGGAGACAGTGCGAGTTCTGGTGCAGGGTCTTGTCATCTTGCTCTTTTTGTGCCTACATGTGCCATCCAACATCTGCAGCTCATCCAGAATGCAACCTACCTAAGTTCTCCCACACAACACTGCTCCTGCTACCTGTGGCTGCTTAAATCCAATTCAAGATCCTGGAACTTGCTGTGAAGCTCAGGCCCATCCTGCATCTAGGACACAAACCAAACACCTCTGCCTGTCCACTACGTTCTTTTATGACTCCCTCACTATGAGGAAGGCCCAGCTACCACTCAATTTTGACCATCTGTGACCTGTCCCATCCACATTGTTGAATGCAGTTATTTTAGTTTACTTTGGATGAGAGTGTCAGCTAGATAAATGTAGATAGGTACCCATGTAATGATGGCATGCAAAGCACCACTCTACTCATGAAAGACCATCTATTCTCCCCCAGCTACCAAGGCTGGGTATTGAAATTTAACAGATATGCTTTGGTGCTACAAAGCATTAAAGAATTCATTTGTTATGCTCCATAAGAAACCAAAAGTAGTTTCAATTAACCAGACTGATAAGTAGGGCTGATAATAGTATGAAAGTTCTAACAATACCTATCCCTTCCAGCTCCTGTCTGTAAAAGGGGCTAATGAAATCAATCACTTTGAATGAACCAGTCACTGGCTTTCTCAATTGCCTGTAACAGCCTCTATGCTGCTTTTTATGCAAATAAAAATTGGGCCAAATTGTCTGCAAAATCCATTGCATTACATAGGCTGTGACATTTACATTTATTCATTTAGCTGACGCTTTTATCCAAAGCGACTTACAATTGCTATACATGTCAGGTCGCACACCTCTGGAGCAACTAGGGGTTAAGTGTCTTGCTCAGGGACACAATGTTATCATTGCAATACACCATTGCTTGCTTGGCTTGCCCCATTACTTCACCAATTAACGTGATCCATATTACTATCCTGTGTACCACCGGATTATGTCAAAGCGTTGATTTAGTCTGCAAGAAATTATTTATTGGTACAAAGCAAATGTGGAATGATTTGTTTACTAGTCTATAGTGATGCAAGGCAAGGGCAGCTAGCTATTAGATTTGACATTTTAATATACTCAGGTACACAGCTTCTTCATCGTCTCAGGGGGTCATTTCCCCCCTGCTGCAACATCAAATCAAAGTTTTTCCCTTCTTGAAGCAGTAACTTGTTCATTTTCATGTATTTCTAACAGCTTTGTGTCATTGCAGATTGACAAGGTGGAATACATTCACACTTTCATGAAGCACTGCCAGAACTTCTTTGGAATGCATCCTTCTGCTCATGTTTCCAAATCTGTCAATTACTAGATTAACAAAGCCCTTTTAGGACAAGTCATGAACTTGAGGGGGTACAAATGACCCCTTGGTGGTTCTACAGATAAGGAAGAACTTAAGCAGGTGTTGGCAGCAAAAGCTCTGAGGAATAGATTACTGTTTGGAACTTCAGAGTTAGAGCTTGTGTTCTTACCGCTGGAGTTTTGCCTTCCTCCCCCACGTCTGTAGCTGTGCTGGTATCCAGAGTCCTGAGAAAACACCAGAAGGACAATAAACATTTGCAGACAGAGCAACAAGTCAGCACTGGACTTAACACAAGTCTGTAAAAGCATACCGATTTCTGGCTTGTGCCTATATTTGCTAGCAACATTTGCGACTTTAGGGACGTTGTTGCATCACACTCCTGATTCTAGCAATTGAGTCCAGTGCACTATAGGAATTGTGACATTGGTGGTGAGAAGATGTTGGTGTAGTGCCCACAGTCAGTATGAGGTCACATGACACCTGATGTCCTGGCTGTCTGTGTGACTGGATGTTTTGACATTCACCGCTAGTCTCTTATTTGTAATCGAACCCATTAAAAAAAAAAAAACACAAGAAATAAATTGTATATACACTAATCCCAATACTCCAAGTCCCAGAGCCAACAAGGCCACTAAGTATACATTGATTTACTTACTCTAGCAGCATAGAGGAGAGGGCCAGAGTCCCTGAAATTAGTCTGGGGGATGTAGGATGCTCCTGGAGAGTAGAAATCAGTGTTTAGTTTCAGAATGATTCATTTCAGCCGAAGCTTTAGCCAGGATGTGACAAGACTACAGATGGGTATTGCTACGCTATACCTTTATGGTGTCGACCGAAATAGCCCAGTATTAAGTAGAATCGAAGTCTCCAGTCAAATACTTCAAAATCGATACTTTGTAGCCAGATTGCAGCCAATAATAAAAAAATAAACACCTTTTCGCCCCTTAGGAGCCTGCGTGATTTTAACAATCGCTCACCTTCGGCTGTGGTCTCAGGCATGTTCGTCACTGTTGCAAGTTTATCACCACAGGCTCTGCTTTCCATTGTTTTCATCTTCTGGTATTATTTAACACTTCTCTGTACATTTTTATTTGCTTTTCACATCACTTGTCACCGATCGATCGTTGTGTTCCATCACATCAATTAAATGCTTGTGGCGCAGCAGCGATCAGCTGATTTTCCTCACGGACCCTCCGGCTGCAGCTGCTTCAGGTGTAGTTTGATCGGCTGGATGTGCAGCCTGTTTTCCTCAGTTTGCTTCTTAAAACTTTTTAGTGTAGTTAATTGACTTGTTAAAACCGACTCCTTACTTGTTTTATAGACTACCGTTTTTGGAGGTTTGCAACTCACCACTAAAGGAAAAAGAACTCTATGGAGTACTGAAGTATTGGTATCACTTTTTGGTACTAGTAACAAAATTTTAAAAGATACCCAACCCTAGACAAGATTACCCTAAAACACCTGATCCTGAACAGACAGCACAGCAGTGCTTTGAGCTAAATGGTATGTCTGCGTGCTAACATACCATATTAAGAGTACTCCACTTGCTTAGCATCACACTCCCATAAAATTGTCATGCTCACGACACCTGAGAATTTTAGAGTGCATCATAGCACAGACAGTACTGGTGGTAATTGCAAATGACCTTCATCAGCAAAAGGAGGAGAAATGCAGGAGTGGTGAAAACCCAAAAAGGAAAGGAGAGTTGAGGATAGATACCTCGATGCCAACCAGAAGAGCGAAAGGTTTGTGCCAGTCCCTTTCCGCCACGTGCCATACCTCTCGCAGATCCTCTGGTGTAGTACGACTGGCTGGGTCGACCAACGCTTCCACCCGACTGGCCAGGGGACAGGAAGATCTGTCCAGCATTACTCACTGTGTAACCTGACTGGTACACTAGAGAAATGATGCAGCATGAAATGGGTCTGACAGTTAGCCGTTTACCATTCAGCCCTTGTGGGTTGAGAGTTTAAGAACACAAAAGTTTGCTCAACATACCTGGCTGTAGTTCGTCATCTGAGGGCGCAAACTCAGGTGGTGTTTGGGTACTGGCAGTGCTGTACCTGGGCTCAGCAAAAACTGACGAATCTGGTTTGTAGTTCAACTCCCCGTTCTGAGGCAAGGAGCCATTCACCTTGAAGATCTAAAGTGAGATGAAAATGGACACCACAGAAGTTGAAAGTGTACAAGCCCATTCTGTTCTAGAAAAAGACGATTCAGATTGTATCTAGATCTAGTTAAGCCAGACTGTAGTTCTGGAAACAATCATCTTGATTTCATTATGTTTCTGTGCTCACATTTTATTTTTTCCGTTTTGTGCAACTACCACTGTAGCATTTTAAAGTATGCACTTCAATAACTTGTCTTCCTTGATGAGCACAGGGAAATCAACTGGTTGAAGAGTGTCATGTCAGAACTGTAGTAAAAACCTACGCTGTCCTTTGACAATTGAAAGCATTTGCACAGAAATTTTCTGGCCATCAGAGCCAGAACCCAACATACCATGCATCTTGGCTGATCAGACAGCCATGTAGCCAGGGAAAACCAAAACTGATGCAATCAGGTACATAATAAGTTACATAAATGTGGCTGAACATAAATGATAAGTGCATTCAGTTACATCTGGAGTTTGTGGATAGGAGACCTTTAAAATGACAGACTGTGGCACAAATGGCTACTGTGTTCTTGAGCGGATTCATGGCAGACCAAGGTCTGCAGTCACGCAAAATGCCATTGAGAAGCCAATATGCAAGTTCACAATCTAACAAAACGACCAGCAAGCTACGCCTGAAGAGCCCATTTCTACCTGTATTAACAGTCAATTTATTTCTGATAAGGAAAAACACAGGCTAATGACTGCATTACAGCCTTCTGTCTACCAATGATGCCTTCTCATTAAAAAAGGAAAATAACCAGAGCCCATACAGCAGAATGCTTCAGAGGCTCCCCAGGACCGCTATGATGTATAGGAGAGGGGTTATGTGACCAAGTGGGGAGGCCAGGCTAGCAAGCTCCTCCACTGGCTCTGATGAACTGACCATGACCCTCGCTTTTCCATGTTGCTTCCCTTGACCTGGGATGCACAAATCCAACCGCAAGAAATACCACTTTATAACACCAAGTGAATGTATGCAGATCTTATGTAGTACCAGATGTGAATGGGGTTCAAGAGGGGGGGGGGGGGGGGGGGGGACTATTTTGTACCTTAATAGCACAAAACTTACTGACTGGATGTTCTGAAACTGTGCTGACGTGAGAGTTCGCCTAGATGGAGGTGTAGAGAAAGTCTGTTCCTGAGGGGGGGTGGAGGTGCCAGATGCCACTGTAGTACAGGGGGACTGCTTCCCGGACTCCGTTACCGGTGTCTGTGGAACAAGGACACAATATTCTGACACTTGACATCAGCTTCACTGCTTTGTCTGTTGACATGGCCAAGAATTCTCATTTACCTGAGGACGGCTCTTCTCCTCCAGACTGACAGAGTTGGTTGACTCCCTACGGTACAGTGGCGGTGAAGGAAACCTTTTTTCAGTCAAATGCAGTGGCTCCTGCAGAGACAAGATTACATTTAACCACAGGGTTCATCATATGGTGCATCTCAGGCAATGTGCAGCTTCTTACATGAGATCGGTCTTTTGAGGAAAGCTCCAGGTCACAGGTCTCCAGGCACTGATCTCCATTTGTTAGACTGGCTTTGCGCTCTGTAAGCCTGGTAGGTAGGGGGGTGGACTGAGTGGGGAATGAGGATGAAGTGATGACAGGTCCAAGTGATTTCAATGCAAGTCACAACTGACTTATCACATAAGAGAACGACCACTTACATGCATTGCTTTGGGCAGGACAGCAACTGGGCTTCTCAAGTCTGAGCCGGTTAGTTGTGGGGGAAAAAAAAAAGAAAAAAAAAGTACATTTTCATATGAATTTGAGTGCATGTGCCGTCCATAGCCAGTACTAGGGGTTGAACACGCCACATAACTTACAGTTTGAACCATATCACAGTTTTGAATCGTGGATGTATCATCTTTGATACAAGGGTATAATTGTATCACACAGATGCTCCGGTGTGCGCATGTGTCCTTGTATGAGAGACAAAATTGGGACCAACTAATAAAAACATTGTATTATAGCACAAGAGTACCCTTAACTTTACCATTATGGAGCTCAAGCGTCAAAGATAATTTTGTGCCTCTGAAATGCTGACGAAACATTTCCAACTCGAGGACCCCTTACCATTTCAACCATTTGCCATGGGGTCTGTACCATGCAGTGAGATTAGTGGTGCTGCCAGGCTTTCTGGCATCATCAAGCTGGCTCACTTAACCAAGATAGATCACCATGGTAACAGATGCTGCACAGCTACTCTGCTCTGGAGCAGGTTAACTTCACACGATCAGATCAAAACCTGTTACCCCCACCATTTGATATTAAGTACTACATTCATGGCCATGTAACAATGAGGCAGACAGTTGAAATCAGTCCACGATACAGGGTCTTCCCTCAGCAGATGGCGTTTGAATGGTCACCCTTTCAGATACATTTTCATAACAAATGAATAAACTTCATCAACTGATGAAGACCATGTGATGTGGTCCAAAGTGCCACAAGAAAAATATAAGATAAATACATGTTCGTAAGTAGACCCGAGTTGGGATTCTTGTGTCAAATTAAAGCTTGTTGACTTGCTCCAAGTTACCCAGAGGAGAGGGAGATCCAGACGGCCGTCTCTTCAGTCTGGGGTGGCCATTAGCGGGGGAGCTCTCACCATCCAGAAGAGAGTCCTGAACAGGACGGCATAATTTTAAAACCCTTTAAAGACCAAATGCTCAAACCACTTTCATCTTGTACTGGGTGGTAAGTGTTCATGGGTTTGCAAACAGCCAAACTCCACCTGCATGAAAATGAAGGAGCCGTGGATTTTTGTTATGAGGTCCTCGAGATGCCGCTTCCTCAGGATGGGGTCTTTGGGTAAGGCAGATGGCGAGTTGAAAACCTCCACAGGCATTTCCATGTGAACTACCTGTTGGGAACCACATGATGATGGTCGCACATCGTTTAGAGATGCCAGTTCAATTTAAGCTAATTGTTTTGTACTCACCGACTTGCCATGCTCCTCTGCTTTGGCTCGCCTCTCTTTTCTCTGGGGAGAATAGCATGTATTCATTATGGTGCGGAGAACATTCTGTGCAATGAACAAAGGCCAGTACCACGAAGGGAGTTGAATCTACTCAGTTAACTCAGGGTTATCAGGCAAACTCAGGGTTGACAAACTGACTGCCTACACTGGAGTTGAATGGTACTACGACTGAATAAGATGTTGGTTGAGTCTGTTAACTTAATTGGAGTTGTGAGCGTTCGCATGAAAGGGGCGCGCGTTTGGCTGTGCAGGCAGAGTTTTCACAACGGGGTAAACCATGTTTACCCCAGAAAAACGCACGTTGATAGCGTCAGGATGTGAGGAGTTTAAAGATGTAAATGCTCCGTACTTTTATAGCGCCTTTCTAGTCTTTGCGACCACTCAAAGCGCTTTTACACTACATCTGCATTCACCATTCACACACATTCATACACTGAGCCTAAGTGCTCAAACGGAAACTAACATTCACACACATTCATACGGAACATTTATACCGAACAGCCGCCAGGGGCAAATCCGGGTTCAGTATCTTGCCCAAGGACAATTCTCTTCAGTGTTCTTATTGTAGGCCAATTCTCTATTATGTATTTTATGGACCCTTCTTTTATATATCATTATACCTATATCATAATTGGAGCCAGGGGAGAGGGGCAAAGAATTTCCAAGACTAATGTGGTAGATTTCCAAGAAAATCACAAATCTACAAGTTAAAAACTTTAATATTCCCACATTTATAACAAATTCTCTGAAAAATAGTGTTTTCTTCAAGGAAACATCGCATCACTTTGCAAGGCTGCAACATCACGCACACCTCTGCCGTGTATTATGCATGCAGTGGAAAATTCTATTAGACTTCACAATCAGATTTAGCAGTGAGGAAATAGGTCTATGCGAGTTTAGCCCGCAATCACTATATTACTATGCACCTTGGAGACTTTGGTGTTTTCTTCTGACTACTCCCAATTCACAGCAGAGGGAATTTCTGATTTGTTCTCGTAAATTTGACACTTTCTCTGGGTTTAGTAACCCCACCCTGGCTCCATAGGTCTACTTTTTGGACATGTAAAATAGTCAATCTAAATATGTGAAAACATCAATTATAGCCTACAGATGAGCTACATCTAAGAAACTGTCCTGTTATTTAATTAAGATCTCCTGCCTAAAATTCACAGAGACTGCAGTGCTCGCTGAATGAACATAATGCTGTCGTGTTCAGAAGAACTTCATTTCAGCTGCAACCGCAGTGGAACAAGTCAGGATAAAATCTAAACATTTTATCAAGTGGTGTGCATTCATAGCCTACTTCTCATCATTAACACTGGGTACAGAGGTGGCGTGTAATCCACCTTTACAGGGTAACCTCGAGTTAACCACGAGCATAACCTGCTCGGAGCATTTAGAGATGCAGCGTAAAGCGCCCTGGCAACAGACCTCGGTTAACACCTATCCACCTTTCATAGTATGGGTTAATCAGAAAGTTACATCAGATGTCACAAAGTTACTCCTAAAGTGACGTTGATAAGCCAGTTACCTTGCTTCATAGTACAGGCCACTGCTCAGATTAAAATAAAAAGCCACAAACTCCAGGGTGAACTCATGGGGAAAGAAACTTCTTCCTTACCATGCAGGGCTGCGCCTGCATAGGCTGCTGTTACCTAATCCAAAATGTCAGACAACATGAGGATCTGATGCTGGTTGAAGGACGACCGAAATCTTAAGAAATCTGTCCTGACGTAATTTTTAAGACATGACTGTACCAAAAATATAGTGTGATAAAGATAATACAGAGCAGACACTTTAGCGCTGAAATATACATGTGTCAGTGCTCCCTGTTAGACAAACTAAGAAATGTTTTGTTAAATGCAATATTACACTATGTTGCTTATTGGTGGACATACGCCCATACAGACAAGCTAATCAGCCGATATATCAACCTGACCTACTTGTCAGTCAGGCTCTATTATGCGGGCATTGACCAGGTGATTGAGATAAGATTCTTCACATAACTACTTTTGTCATTGTACAAAAAAAAAGTTCGTTATTCATTTCTTACAAAAATAGCAAGTTAAGGTTCAGCTGTAGGCTAATGTAACCATCAGATCCTATTGCAGAGACTGGAACATTTCATTGGCATTAAAGGAACCGCTCTAAGCTGGTTTAAGTCCTATTTATCAGATCGATTTCAGTTTGTACATGTTAACGATGAGTCCTCCATGCATGCCAAAGTTAGTCATGGAGTTCCTCAAGGATCTGTCCTCGGACCAATCCTCTTCACTTTATGCTTCCTTTAGGCAATATTATCAGGAAATATTCCATAAGCTTTCATTGTTATGCAGATGATACTCAGTTATATCTATCGATCAAACCAGATGAAACTCATCAGTTAGCTAAACTTCAAATGTGCCTTCAGGATGTTAAAACCTGGATGACCTGTAATTTTCTCATGTTAAACTCAGATAAAACTGAAGTTATTGTTCTGGGGCCTAAGCACCTCCGTGACGCATTATCTAAAGATATAGTTTCCCTTGATGGCATCGCCCTGGCCTCTAGCACCACTGTGAGGAATCTTGGAGTTATCTTTGATCAGGACATGTCGTTTAAGTCTCACATTAAGCAAATTTCAAGGACCGCCTTTTTTCACCTGCGTAATATTGCGAAAATCGGGAACATTCTGTCTAAAATGATGCAGAAAAACTAGTCCATGCATTTGTTACTTCTAGGCTGGATTACTGCAATTCTTTATTATCAGGCTGCTTGAAAAAGTCCATTAAGTCTCTTCAGCTGATCCAGAATGCTGCAGCACGTGTTCTGACAGGAACCAGGAAAAGAGATCACATTTCTCCTGTTTTAGCTTCTCTGCATTGGCTTCCAGTAAAATCCAGAATAGAATTTAAAATCATTCTTCCCTACAAAGCGCTTAATGGTCAGGCACCATCTTATCTTAAAGAGCTCATAGTACCTTACTACCCCACCAGAGCACAGCGCACCCAGAATGCAGGGTTACTTGTGGTTCCTAGAGTCTCCAAAAGTAGACTAAGAGCCAGAGCGTTCAGCTACAAGCTCCTCTCCTGTGGAACCAGGTTCCAGTTTGGGTTCAGGAGGCAGACACCATCTCCACATTTAAGAGTAGGCTTAAGACTTTCCTCTTTGATAAAGCTTATAGTTAGGGCTGGCTCAGGTGAGTCCTGAACCATCCCTTAGTTATGCTGCTATAGGCCTAGACTGCCGGGGGATTTCCTATGATGCAATGAGCTCCTCTCTCCTCTACTTTCTCTCCCTCTGTATGCAACCTCATCCCATTATTGCATGTTACTAACAACTTCTCCCCTTTCTGGTAGTCTTGTGCTTTCTCGTCCCTCTCCTCTCTCCTCCTATCACTTCCTGCAGGTGTTTCTGGCTCTGGAGCTGTGGAGTCTGGATCTGTGGCTGCGGGTCACCTGCTGCCCCCATGTTCCTGCTCGACACCCTCTGCTGCAACTATTGTTACTAGTCCTATTGTAATTATATTCATTAACATTGCGACTGTTACCATTAACACTACTATAAATATCTGTACCATTTTTCATTTAGTCTATAGCAACATCACCTTTACTGTCTGTACCTCTGTGTATATTGTGTAGACCTCCCTCCCCTCTCTCTCCTTACATCCCTCTTTTTCTCTGTGTTCCTCTCCTGCTCCCTCTCCCTCCTTCACCCCAACCGGTCGAGGTAGATGGCCGCCCACCCTGAGCCATGGTTCGGCTCAAGGTTTCCTTGCCTCTGTCGCCTAGTGCTTGCTCTTGGTGGGAACTGTTGGGCTTCTGTAAATAACATCACAGAGTACGGTCTAGACCTGCTCTTTTATGAAAAGCGCTGTGAGATAACTGTTGTTGTGATTTGGCACTATATAAATAAAATTTAACTGTAGGGCAAAATACTTGACTAGTAAACAAAGCAGAGCGCTGTGGTTCAGGCTTGAAGCAGGTCCATCCCTAAAAATTATGCACAGAGCAGCATCCCCAAAAATATTGAGGGCAGAAGATGTGACAAATGCATGTCCAGAAACACCAGTAAGATTTTGTTGCAGTCCCTCAGGTCAGTGAACTCCGTTAGACGCTTTCTTCCAGTTTCAAACGTGGTCACTAATGCTGTGTGGCTCTGTGCGCAAATTAAAGCTGCAGGATGTAAACATGCATTTGACCACGGTACATTTGTTAACTTTAGCTAGTAAACACCATCCTAACTGCAAATGACAAGTTACAGGAGGGTCCAATAACTTTGAGAAATGAACAATTAGACAGAGTTGAGAAAATGTTTCCTAAAAACCAAACAAAAAAAAACAAACAACTCTGAAAGTTTTTTTTTTTTTTAAACTCCTCCTTTCAAACACAATTGCAGTGTCAGTCCAGGACCAGAGGTGCCAGGTAGCTCACTTGTTTGCAGTCAGCAGATCGTTTCTTGATGGGGACTGGGACTTTGGGGATGAAAGTGGCAGCTCCTCTCCAGGGTTTGTGAACTGTAGCTTGGGGGGAAGCGAGTCCATCTGCGATCTCCATATCCCAGCAGTCAGGAGGCTCCCGCTCCCTCATGGTCTGGAAGTCCTCCTTCCATTTCTGAGTGGGAGGAGTCTCCATGTCAGTCAGGTACAGTCTGTTGAAAAACTGCCATATCACCAATAGAGCATCAGTGGATCCTGGCGCATGCTTACAGTCACACACACACACACACGTTTGTTCCACTATCTGCTGCGGAGACAGACATAATGCATTACCTCCCCCCATTACCTTAATTGCTAACCTTAAGTCTTACCCACTTCTAACCTGAACCCTAAAACCAAGTCTTCATCCTGAAAATGTGTCTCTACCAAACCTAAATTTGTCCCCACATTGACACATCCCATCACTTAGTGTGCATTCAGGTTAAAGTCCCACCAGGATTTAAATAAATAAAACATGGCGCACAGCACTGAAATAAAGCTTCAAAAATAAACTGAACATCAGCCTTACCTCCTTAGAATCTTCATTTGGATTTGAGTTTGTGGCTGACAGGAGCAAAAAAAGAGACATGAATCTGCAACTCACCATATTCACACCGGCAAAGCTTCAAAGTAGTTTCAGTAGCAAATGCCTAACCCTCATTTCTGGCACCATTAATACCCACAAGTCATTAGTCACAGTAACTCGGCATAATCTTACTGCAGTGGCTGGTTGACCTCAGGAACACTTCTGGAGACTTTGTGGGTGGAGGTGGAAGACAATTGAAGTACTTGCAGTTCAACAGCCTGGTGAGCTCCTCTTTCAACAGCAGAACTGAGTGTTAAAGGAAAACCCACTTCAGAAAATGACACTTTAGCTGGTGAAGCGCGTTTTCATTTCTGTGGCTCAAGTTCTGGACACTGTCATTGGACCAATTTTTAGCAATGTCAGAATTCTGAAATCTCAGGATTCATTTTAGGAACAATGTTTTCATAGTTGTTGGGTTTTATTTGTAGCTCAGGCTAGGGCTGGGCAATAAGACTGATAATTATCGCAATATAATTTTCCTCAACAATATAATAAACATTCAAGATATCAATAAATATTTGCTTTAATACATTTGAATCACAAATTAGCACCTAATTTTTCTATTAAAATATTTATTTTGTTAAAAAAAAAAAAAGAGGGCTGAAAGATAGTTTAATCTACTTACTCCACAGTGATCCACTGTTTGGCAAGTGTTTGTCACATTCTGACCATAAAAATAAGTTTAACCACAAAATTAACCATCTGGTTTCTTCAATGTTCACTCAGGAGCAAAAGTTAGCCTTTAAACTTGAAAGAACTAATGATTTGACATATATTGTGATATTATCGATATCGAATGATATGAAATTGTATCGTGATAACATTTTTGGGCATATTGCCAAAATCAATTCTAAGTTGTACACACTGCTTTCCTTTAAGCCCAAAACTTAAAGCAAGTAAAAAAGCAGGCTGATTACAGTGAGCTGCACCATAACCAGGCCTCTGCAACCCTGCTTCAGATTCATCCAGGCCCTTCTTACAGAGATCAGTGACATTAAAGACTTACATTTTCACAGTGTCCATTAACCCATTATGCAAAATTAATTTTTTACAGAATCCATTATATGATGATGTCACTCACATGTGGATCCAGCCACAGGCTTGTCTTTGCCCTCCAGCAGGTCCAAGTATGCCACAGCTGCATGCTCCATCTGCTCCTCTAAACTACAACACAGTTCAGATAGATCATCAAGCAGCCCATAGTCCATGATGGGAATAAAGTGGAACTCCGCTTCCTGGTATTGGGTCCTCTTTGTAGAGACTGCAGAGTTTTTTTTAGCACATTAACTTTTGCCCACTCCAGTCTTTCCCCTAGAAATTAGTGTAGCGGAGCAGGCATGTTATACGTGTAATACACAGCGTGGTCAAAGACACGGCGCACAAAATTTTGCCCGTTTAGGCTCGTCACCTTCTCCATTCCTCAACATTTTTAACGCTCAAGTTTCTACGCCACGGAAAGGCCCTTTAATGAAACATGACATAGCACAACTTTTCATCGTCAATGCCTTTATATAGCCCAGCGAAAATTTCAAGTCGATCGGATTAATTCTGTAGGAGTTTCTTAAAGTACAGAACCTGTAAATCGCCAAAAGTTACCATTAAATCCGAAATGGCCGACTTCCTGTTGGGGTTAAGGCATTGCTCCAGGGTGCTTTTTGTAGATGTGGACATGAAACATCTACCACAAACATTTCTGAGAAACCCTTGGCCTGTTCTTTAAGGCTCGTAGACTACACGACTCCGCAACGGCCGTACTGTTCACACTGCACAACTTGCCGTCTTGTGACGGGAGTCTTGAAGTCGTTGTGACTGATCGGTGACAGGGGGTCACATTACACGACAGCGGCTCTAAACCACATTGTCAAGAAAACACGTGAAATGTGAAACAGGAAGTGACGCGATCCTGAACACGAAACAGCTGTTCCTTTAGTGTCAACAGGGTCAGTTTCATCCTCAGGCCCTAAATGTTACAAATTGAATCAATAAAGATTTTGATGCATCATGCAATTACGCTTATTGAAATAATTTAGGCGCAAATATTTATGGGGACAATTCACAATAAATGCATTATTGCAGTAAATGTAATTGTCCATCAAATAGGTTATTACTTAATAGCCTCAATATGCTGCTGAACACATGGAATAAAGCTCGACCAGATGCAGCTTTAATTCCACCCCAAAACAGAATGTCCGACTCCGCCCACACAGTCTACAATGTGTTTGTGTCTGCTAATGTGGTTGCACTTCTGAAAGTTTGTTAAAGTGATGAGTTCTTCCTAGCGTGCCGACTCTTCAATATGACGGCACGTGTGTGCGTGGCAGGAGCCTGTGAGCCACGCCCTTGCAGACACCAACAGAGGATAGAAGCAGCGCTGGAGAGTTTGAGAGAGAAGCGAGTTGTGAAAACAGCTTTATCGGGCGCGCCCGTTTTTTGGTTACTGGAACATATAGCCAATTATGTATTTTTGTCATTCTTTCATAGGGGGCGGGGTGTCATTCTGGGGACAGGCCTGTTGCATTTCATGTTTTAATTACATATTTTTGCCATGCCATTTGTAATGTTTTGCTATTTTCATCTTATGTTGCAGCGTCTTGTTGGTTACACAGACTACGCTGATATAACCCAAACTTTTCATGAGTTATCTTTCAAATCCTTTCAAATGTCAGACCTGTATTACACTTCGGGCCAGAGCCAACAGAAAATGTGTCCATTTACACTAGCCACTGCATCTCAGGGGCGATACAGCATGGTATCGTGATATTTGCCATGGCAATACTGTATCGATACACGGACGCCAAGGACCGATATTTTATTATATAAATTGCAGATGGGAGTTTTAACTTTTTGGTACTAGAATAATAAAATCTATTGCTTTTTTAGTCCACTAGAAAAGCTAACAGGACCATATAAAGGACTGAAAAAGAAATATGAACAAAACAGAAATGTATCTTAAGATCAAAAGATGTTTACAACATTTGACTTTAGGGATCTAATTGGGCGTTTGAAAAAAGGTAATAAATTGCAATATATTTGAAGTCGCAAAAAAATCGTATCGTGGGGCCTCTGGTGATTCCCACCCCTAGAGTATAGCTATGCAATCATTCAAACTGTATTTTCAATTATGATTTTGGTTTATCATAATTATGAACATCTCATGATAAAATTACTGTGCCACAATCCTTTTAATGATGCTTTGGTTTTGTCTTGTGTTATAAACCCAGTGCAACCTGTCCTTTACAGTGACTCCGCCCCTCCCTAAAAGCCCAAACTCCCTCAGGAGGCTGTGGCATGGTATTAGCTTAAGCCTACAGCATTTTACACTTCATAAATTAGCCTAGCAGCTTGGGGGAATTCTCTTCTTCTCGTAGCTTAACAAATAACATTTTTTACTCCGCATTGCTTTAAGTCACCCCATCTCCTGACAGAACACCATGGCTGAATTTTAGAATTACATGCCCGTCATCTGCCAAGATAAAATAATCGTGATTATGATTGTTGCCATGATCGAGCAGCCTAACCATGAATGAAACCAATAAGCATTAGAGATTGAACTAAAATCCAACAGACCAGAGCCCCACAGATGTAACCTAGCCAATCAGGGACAGATTTATAAACACAAGCAACACAGTTTTCACTCAACAAAAAACAGAGCCATTACGTGTTAGAGATTTTGGCCAAAAGACGTAGTCGCTGTGTAACTGTATGTTCCATGACCTCAACTCTTTATGGGCAGTTTGTGTGACAAGTCAAACCAACCTGACAGTGAGTGTTACGATGACGCTCACCTCAGTCTGTTGTCCCTCTTGACTCCCAGCAGGGTGGCGAGCTGACTCAGGCTTTGCAGCTGCTGGGCGGGGATGTGGGGCGCCTGGTTGTGTCCAGCCAGCAGGTCTCTCCTGATGTGCTTCTGCTGCAGGCTGTGCAGAAGGTGCTGGACCTGGAGCACCGTGCTCAGACGCCTCCTTTCCACCTCCGCCTTTGCCACCTGCTCCTTCTTCACTGCCTTCTTTTGGGCTCTCAGCAACTGCAGAATGAGTCAAGGAGCAGTTTGAAATTAAAACCAGCCGTTGTATTAAAGCAGTGGTGGTTGGTGCATTTTTTTAACTAAAATTGACACATACAAAATTGATACTATTATGTCTGTGCATCATCTATGATGCTAGAGCTTAGAATTGATTAGCTTAGCATAAAGACTGGAAGCAGGAGGGATGAGGCTAGCTTGGCTCATGCTAAAGTTCAAAAATACACCTACAAACACCTCTAAAGCACGCTGCCTTTTTTCCCCTGAATTAATCTTTAAATGACATCATGCGATTTAATTAGTAGTATCAAAGGACTAGCAATGATGACAGAACTGACATTTACTGGCTGCAGAATAATTGATCATTTCAGCTGAATTAAAGATTGTCCAGGCCTATGGATGGCCATCTAAAAACGTCATGGGAAGAAGTCAGTAACACCGTAAAATACACACAATTGAGAAATATATTTGAGTTATTTTGAAACAATTGACATGCCATATGTACAGGCAGAGTTATTGCTCACTATGGAGTTGCACTGCCCATGCTGGCAATGAAGCCAAAACTACATTTAAAAATGTGGGGCTAAATGCAGACAAGGTGGAGCGGCTGTGACTCAGGAGGTAGAGCAGGATGTCCACCAATCAGAAGGTCAGTGGTTCCTGGGTTGACTGCATGTCCAAGTGTCCTAGGGCAAGATACTGAACCAAATGATAAGCAGTTGGCACCTTGCATGGCAGCCTCTGCTATCAGTATGTGAATGTGGCATGTAAAGCACGGAGCGGTTTAAAGAGTAGAAAGGGCTATACAAGTACAGGCCATTTACAAATACCTTGTACAAAAAAAGCATTTTGAAGTTTAACTAAAGCTAAGGAGGCCTCTGCAGTAAGAGGATTTTGTACTGTACTTAGCCTGTAGAGTTTCCTTGCTTTCTGCCCAAGAGTCCAAAACCTTAACATACATTAATCATGTGAGCCAAAGAAAAGCAGCCGAGTAGCAGTCATTGCCAAAAACTTACATTCTCAGTCAAGTTGCCCAGGGTTTTGTGCAGATCCCGTGCGAATGCCAGGTTATGCAGCACCTCCTCATACTTTTCTACAGCCACCTGGAAGACCAAGACAAGTGGGCAAAGACCCAAACCCACCAAATTTACAGTCATGAGATCATATCCTTCTGCCAGTACATGCCAGGTCCTACCATCTGATCCTTGTTTAATGCCTCGCCCCGGTTCAGCCTGTTCTTGTAGTCCTCGAGTTTCAGCTGTGGGGACACAAGACATGTCACAAAATCCAGTTGTCTTGACCAGTCCAGCTCTTACACCTTCTAACTCATTCTGCCCCATCCTACCTTCTTCTTCTCCAAGTTGCGGACCTTGTGTTTGAGGCAGATGAGTCCATCTTCTATGTAGTTTTCATAGCCATGGTAGGCAGTGGAGGCCTCCAGGCTGAACTGCAGGGCGCTCAGACAACCAGGCGAGCCCAGCTTCGGGCTATCAGCGGTCACCGGGTCCTCCTGTCTTTCCCCCTGCCTCTCTGAGTGTTCAGGTGGAGGGGTGACATCCAGGGTAGGGGAGGGAGACAGCTGCACCATGTTGAGCTCCACACTGTAGGAAGAGGGACACATTTTAGTGGTCCAAAAAAAAAGCAAAAAGTAAAGGGTCTCTGTGCCATGCAGCTGCCACAGAGGACATATGCTGCTGGTACTGAGCGGAATGTTTCAATAGAGATGGATTCAGTTTGGACAGCAGCCAACCCCGTGACACTGCATTTACAGTGGCCACTGAACAGCACGCTCTCTCTGGATGAATCATGAAAGCAAAAGCATCAGCTCCTAACACACAACACAAACACCCAGCAAGATCAGGAGCTTTTTTGTTTGTTTTTTTAACTACAGTCCTCCTTTAATTAGCCTACATATTCCTGCGTGCATGGCCATTTCCCAGAGTCATCCTCCTCCTGACAGCCGGTGGGGATCCATTTTAACAGACGGGAGGTTAGGCAATTAATGTTAAGCAGATGTAATGAGCAATTAAAGCTTTAGAACGGGACTACATGCTGTAATCAAGTCTCCATATCATGCATTCCGTTTGAAACCACCCAAACGTCTAAAATATACTTTCAAACAACAACACACTCGCTTGCGCAGCAGGATAGAAACTTTCGCTCAACATTGCAGCGATTTCAAGTTTAATCGTCACACACTTGGGCACAGCTTCAAACCAAACGCCACAGCTGACCCACCTCGTGTCTTTCACTCGTGCACGTTAAATCCTCTCAGGAGAACCGATGGACATCCGGAAACCCCGAATCTGAGCGACCCCTGTCCAACCGAGATGTTGAGCTCGCAGACGCAGAGGCAGGGCCGGCCGCAGCTCACACCTTTATATACCCTGCGGACACATCCACCCAGACCACATCCGGTGCCGACACCTGCCATGGCGCACATCATCCGGCCGGAACACCGTTATCACGTCACTGTGATGTGAAAGACTTTGTAGTGATTTATAAAACCATCTTATGACGCACACACTGTGAAAATAAAAACTAGTTTGACTCCTGACTTTTACCATATGAAAAATACTATTTATGTCCTCATGTCATCTAGTGATACAAGAAGTCACTAATAAACCGTGAGTTTACATTAAAGGTGGTGCTGCTTAACAGTCAGAGGGGAGAAAAGTCTTCATTTAACTATCCAAGGCCAACATATTATTCACTGTACAACAATATGTGATAACAATACTGATCCGATCCTCCTCCCGACATGTTCGGTCCTGCTGAGCCCTCAGGTGGCAGAAGGCTGCTACAACATCGTGAAGGAGCGCCACTTCACCAGACACGGGCAACTCGTTCGGGAAAGTTCCTTCACTGCTGCTGTGAACCAGCTAAAGCCACGGGATCAAATAAAAATGCATGTGCAATTCATTTAAACTGGCAAATGAACCTGGTGCTCTTCAGGCCCTGGAGCAGTTGACCACCTTATATTGGTGGAAATAGTATGCAGATAGTCTGTTACAAGTAAAAGTCCTGCATTGGAAATATTACTTAAGTATAATCTCTAAATGTACTTAAAGTAGTAATGGGGGAATGGCCCTTCACTGTGTTAATATTGGAATCATCACTGATGCATTAACATGTAAGCAGATTTTAAATACTTTATTAGTTGATGGAAACCTCAAACAAGACCATTCTGTCTGTAACTGAATCCTAAAACCTGCAGTGCAGTGTGAATATTACAACCTATAAAGATGTTCTATAAATCGGTGTCTGTATCTTAAAACAGGGCCAGTAAGCCAGATAATGTGTTATAATGATGAAATATTTGATATTAGAACATTTTGAAATTAGCTGAAATACTCCTGCTAGATCTTTTTAACTTTTTATAAGAAACTTGAATTCCTGATTAAAATGCTGCATTTGTTTTGTATGAAAAAGCAGCCATGGAAAATGTCACTTCTCTGTAAAATGCAGTAGAAAGAATTGGTGTTAAGCAGCAGAAAATAACAATATTTAAATAAAGTACAATAACCTATACAGTACTTAAGTACAGTTTGACGCCCAGTAGGGTCATGAGTGGGTGTAACTCTTTTTGTCATTCTGCAGGAAGCTGCTGTTGGGCCGAGTTCAGACCTCCCTGGGCGGGCTCTCCTCCAGGTCTTTCCCCCAAGTTTCCCCTTATTTTTTGTTTTTTTTTTGTTTTTGGAGTGTTGTTTTGTGGTATTTATCTTGTTTTCTTGCTTACTACTACACCTTCACACACACATTCATGCATCCATCATCCTGCGCAGACACTACTGAAACCACAGGCTACATACCTCATACTTTAATCATGCTAATTTAAGAAATTCTTAATTTGGCTTTTTATGTTAAATAAACATATGTTGTTAAACGTTGACCATGGTGTACCTTCCTTTTGTCGTGGCCTTTTGAGCCAGGTCATAACAGTAATTGAGTAAATGTACATTCCACCACTTCTTTGCCAGTTAATCCACCCCACACAACAAAGTAACACTTTACATGTATCATCATTAAAGTAAAAGTGAAGAGCAAAGGTTTCAAGTTAAATTACTTTGTAGGTCTTCTTGTGTAGAACAGAGGAATATGTTGGTGAATATCTCACTCCTATGAATTCATAAAGTACAGGGTTATTTATTTTTGTCATTCTGCAGTGTGCACAATGAAATGAAAGCTATACCCCCTTTACACTACACACAACATATATGCAGGGGTTAGGGCATACTTTCAACAAGGTGTTGGAAACATTCCACAGAGACTTTGGTACATATTGACATGATAGCATCACGCACGGTGCTGCAGATTTGTTGGCTGCACATCCATGATGCGAATCTCCCATTCCACCACATCCCAAATGGGCTCTATTGGATTGAGATCTGGTGACTGTGGAGGCCATTGGAGTACAGCGAACTCATTGTCATGTTCAAGAAACCAGTTTCAGTAGGCTGTCGTGTTTAAATGATCCTGAGTTGGTAAAAAATATATATAAAATATCCCCCACACCATTACACCACCACCAGGCTGAACCGTTGATACAAGGCAGGATGGATCCATGCTTTCATGTTGTTTACGCCAAATTCTGATCCTACCATCTGAATGTCGCAGCTGAAATCGAGACTCAGACCAGGCAACGTTTTTCCAATCTTGTGTTGTCCAGTTTTGGTGAGCCTGTGTGAATCGTAGCCTCAGTTTCCTGTCCTTAGCTGACTGGAGTGGCACCCGGTGTGGTCTTCTGCTGCTGTAGCCCGTCTGCTTCAAGGTTCGATGTGTTGTGCGTTCAGAGATGGTGTTCTGAATAACTTGGTTGTAACGAGTGGTTATTTGACTTACTCGTTTTTCTGTCATCTGGAACCAGTCTGCCCATTCTACTCTGACCTCTGACATCAACAAGGCATTTTCGTCCACACAACTGCCGCTCATTGGATATTTTCTCTTTTTCAACCATTCTCTGTAAACCCTAGAGATGTTTGTGCGTGAAGATCAGCAGTTTCTGAAAAATAGTCAAATTGAGCTCTAAATAAGGCTTCCATTGTCTGCCGCGTTCAAAGTCACTTATTTCCCCTTTCTACCCCATTTTGATGCATGGTTGAGGCAAGTTGTCTTGACCACGTCTACATGCCTAAATTCATGGAGTTGCTGCCATGTGATTAGCTGTATGTGTTAACAAGAAATTGAACAGGTTTACCTAATAAAGTGTCCGGTGAGTATACAGCCATTGTATTACAGTCAGTAAACAATAATACACTCAAATAAGGTGAATTACATTTATTGAACAAGTAGAAGTTACAAGCACGTATAAAAATACAAACTTAACTTTTAGAAATCTCTCTGCAAAATAACCATATAGAGACAGACTACTAAATTATCACATGCTAATGTAACTAAAGACCATCTTGTATATCTACCCAAAATATCAGAACAAGAATCCATCCATCCATCTTCATCCACTTATCCAGGGTCGGGTTGAGGGGAAGTGCAAGAATGCCTCTTATAAATATGATGGAATACGATTTTTCCACAATTCTCAATCATGTCCCCTGTGTTCCGTCTATATGGCAGTATGGCACAGACAATGTCTTCATGTCTACAAAGAGCAATACATTTCAGTGTAGTGAAAATAAAATATTTTTATAGGATACGTTAATAAAGACATTTTTAGACAAATCAACCCCACAGATGAAGCTATACTTAAATTAAAGAGGAAAAGTGTAAGTCATGGCAGACTGAAAAGAACTAAAGGTTCAGTACTGAGTAAAGTTCTGATACTGTTCCAAACACTGCAGCTGTCTGCGGCACCACAGGTAGTTATGTTGAATAGACTATAATAAAAAAGGCCAAAATATGAAAATCCAGATTGATGCTTTAAAGCTTCAGATGACAATGAAGTTACTGACAGTGCTAACATGTCTGCTAGCATACCAGAAACGTTGAAGTATTTCCTGCCAGAGGTGACATTTGAAAGTTTCTGAATCTGCACACAGCTGTAAACACAGTCTGGCTATCTTTAAAAATTAACCTCAGCAACTAATTATTTTGAAACAAAAACCCTTTCTCTACACCAGTAAGATACAGCACTACCTCAAATTTCCTTGAAGTTACCTAATTATTAATGAATTATGGTTCAAATGGAAGATAACAAATCTGTGGACAGATGCTTGTTGCATTTATTAATAGATTACAAAAATACAGTAAAATATTCAAGCTGTACATCATCAAATCATGCAAAATCCTCAGAGCTTCAAGTGAAGTGAGTTCTGCAAACAGCCACAGAATGTGAATTAAACATTGCTCTGTAGGCCTCACACTAAAAAACTAATAAAATATTAATAATGAAAGGCCAAATCCATGATATTAGAATATAAATAGCTCCCGAGCCCCTTTCCACATGGCAGAAAAGCTGCTGAAGCAATGCAGAAGTGTCCCCGCATTTCACTTCATGTTGTTGCATCTTCCTGAGGGTAGATTTAGCTTATAATGGTTCACAGCTGCATTTGGACTGGTACCTCCCTGAATCGGTTTGTGCTTTTTATGTATGTGCACCACAATCTATCCTCGGTAACAATGAAGAAGAGTTTTTGTCGTCTTGCATTATTTACATTCTTAACAAGGACATGAGCACTATGTACAAAAGGGAAACTCTGAAATACTCATATTATTGGCCATTAGACAATATATATATATATATATATATATATATAAATTTAAAAAACTACATATTTGTCTTATATATTTCTACTGATGATATGTAGCCAATTGAACTGGCATTTGTGTGTTCTTTGTGAGGAGTGTCACATGCTAAATGTTAAATCACCAAGAGAATAAGTGTCAGCTGTATTAATGACTGAAATCACTGTGTAAATTGAATTGTAGCACTCAGTCGCTCTGAAATTCACATGGAGCTTCAGCGTGGACTGTGCAGACAGTGCTGACCTTTGAGGGAATGGAGGCTCCAAGAGTCCAAACTGGGGGATACTATCATATTAGTTGTGTTGCACTATACAAAAAAATAATAATATATAAATCTATCCGCTCTTTCTGAATATTAACCTGTCCACAAAAGATATGTGGCACGATTTGCAGTAGCGCAACAGTAGTCAGTGAGACAAATACAAAATGTAGCTTGAATGAACTGTGTTGTTGGGTTGAAGTCACTTTTTATGTGAAATTCCAACTGATGTTGGAAAAGTGTAATATTCTACTGCTAATGATTTGTTACATTTCAAACTTCACAGTGTGTATTAAGTGCAACAAAGCCCAAGTGTGCCTTGTTCTCCAATGGAAGTTGTTCTTAAAATGCCCAGACGTCTGACCCCGTTTGCCCTGTTGCTTAATGAATAAGGCTATTGTTGTTGTGTG